TCATCTGCCTTAAAACATATGGTTTTTGATATTCACAATCCATAATTTGGTTTCCTTCACAGTTTAGTTTGACCCGTTTCTCTCGAGTCTCGAATCCAAAGTGAAAAGAGTTTCATGGGAAGGTCTTATTGTCAATAAATGTATTGGATTTGTTGACTGATATTAACCATAGTTAATAAGTAATTGGACCTTTTAAGAAGTAAGCCAATAAGAGGATCCAAGGGGTCATACGAATGTAGCTTTTGAATTGCGTGGGCCTGTTCTCAATTGTGAGTTGGTACTTACAAGTTGATAGACTTGGGTTTGTTCGGTGAAAATATCAATATTACGATTGTGCTCAGACCCGATCCTGAAAATGTTTGGACCGGAAGCATTAGAAAAATATGGGCCTGTTAATTAAATAAATAATAGTACTAGAAAAATAGTTATGTTGCTAACCATGATCTAATCATTCACCTTTCAAAGTGTCAACAACAGTATTAACCAACTGAACTATTAAAATAACTAAAAATTTTGGTCTAAAATTTTAGATATTTTAACAAGGCCGGAAGCACATGCTTCTAATGCTTCTATCCAAGGCCTGATTGTGCTCTTACCAAAAACATGGGATTGTAGATAAGGAATGGGACCGTGAGGATGTCAGAGTTAACAGAAGTCGACGTTAAGAGTAACCATGTCTTGTAGCTCCAGCTTCCTCGGGGATCGAATCTTTCGCTGAAGCCACATGCTACATTTTGTCCTCTTTCTCTCTTACAGCACGCGCGAACTAGTTTACAATGTGGTGCTTACTAGTTTACGTTCCAAGTTACTAATGATCATTACTTGTCCTCCTTGCTCATTACTATGTAAAGTACTTATAAACTAACAAAATTAGATATTGACCGAAATTCTTTGACTCATCAATACTTCGTGCTTAGTCAATCATGTATGAAATCTATATCGAAAAGCTATGTTCGATGCTCCACTTCCGAATGCTAAAAGACAGACCGTAGAGATGTATCTTTATACTGTAGTGTATTTACACGTGTGAAGACAAAAAAACACCCCAAGAGCTTTCAAACTTATAGCTAAATGAAAAGTCATGCCTACTGTGGACACTAGGGGTGGGCACGGATCGGATATCCGGGTTTTTTAAGGTATTTGTGATTTGCTTCGAATGTTACGGATATCTAATTTTGGTATTTGCTTTGCTTCGAAAAAATACGGATATCCGGAAAAACGGATATCCAGAAAATAAATAGATATTTACGGATACTTACGAATATTTACGGATATCTCATCCATTGTAATTAGTACAAATAATCTTAAGATTTTGATACAAATTTGCTTTGCAAAAATATTTTTTTGCATGATATATAAAATAAAACTTAAAAGAACTAGTGAATTTATAGATTTTGTAATTTTTTTAAGTTTAAGTTACAATTATAATAACACAAAATTTAAGAAAAAAATATAATTGTCAAAAATATTTTTATCTCTTTTTTTGTAATACTTTTATATAAGTAATAATTTGAATAGAATTGTTCAAAATCATGTGCTAAATTAATAATTATATAATTTTATACAATTAAAATTTTAAATATAATCAAAATATACATATATTTATATATTTACGGATCGGATCGGATATCCGCTTTCCAAAGTTTTAATATTTGTGATTTGCTTCGATTTTAACGGATATTGAATTTTAGTATTTGCTTTGATTCGAAAGTTTACGGATATCCGGAATTTTCGGATCGAATCGAAACGAATAACGGATCGAATCAAATATAACGGATAAAATGCCCAGCCCTAGTGGACACATCGATATGTCCACACCACCACTATAATTAAAGTTTGAAATACTTGTTATTTTAATAAGGATGAAACATTTAAGATGGTTTTACATATAAAATCAGACTTTTTGCACTTTCTCTAAGACTAAACTCCATACTAATTACTCCCTCCGTTTCATATTAAATATCGTTGTAGAAATTTTTTTTTTTATAAAATCAATGTCGTTTTCGAATTTCACCACAAAATTTATTAATTTTATTATGTAATTTGTTTTTCTATTGGTTAAAATGTGGTTAGATGTATAGATAATTGTGTTTTTATATATGAAATATATAAAATTAATTATTATTTTTAATCTATGTGTACAATTCTAAAATAACACTTAATGAAACAGACGGAGTACTAGACTTCAAATATTTCATAACTAGGTGTTTTGCCCGCACTTGCGGGCTTAATAATTTTACTAATATCTATAAATAAATATATAACCAAGTTATGTAAATTATAATAAATTATTGTTCATAGGCTTAAAATATTTAATATAAACTAAACAAATTCTTTTTATTTATAAAATTTTCATTATCATATAAATAATTTTCATTACACAACTTATATTTGAAAGATAATTATCAAAGAAATGAAATTAGATTTTAATTTATAATTAATTATATATTAACTAATATAATTATTTTCAAGTATATTAACTAATATAATTATTTTTCAAGGTTAATAAAAATTTTATAACCCAATATAAAATAGTTTTAGATAAAGATAAATCTAAAATCGTTGAAATTCGTTTTTTATTTATGTTTAATTATATTAAATATTTTAATTATTAATTAAGGGTATAAACGATATTAACCGTTCTAACTTTTAACATGAGAGTTTTCTTGCAAAAAATCATTCACAAATAATAGTATAGATTACCTAAATCACAGAAAATTACAAATTAATCAGCAAACTCACTTAAATTTTATAATTAAAAATATAATTTTGAGATAACAATCTAATACAAAATAATTAACATATTTTCTAAAACTATAATATTATTAACATAAATTCTTTTTGTTTTATTTTATAATAAATTATTAAAATATGAAAATAAGCAAAATAACCTAGAATCATGGAAAAGTTGACAACTAAGCAAATTTTTACTTCTAAACAAATAATTTAATAATATATTTTTTAAGATAAAAATCTAATACAAAAGAATTAACATATTTTCTAAAAATATAATATTATTAATATAAATTCGTTTTTATTATATAATAAATTATTAAAAGATGAAAATAAGCAAAATTCCCTAAAATCATGGAGAAGTTGACAACTAAGCAAATTTACTTCTCAAATAATGTTATAGACACCCTTACATAAAAAATATACAATGGACAAACAAATAAATAAATATAATGAGATTTAATCAATGACCTCGACCAACCATAATTATTTGCTTTATAATTTGTTTATGAATCTCTATAAGGTCGACACTTGTTTCCATTAGCCTAACAAAGGGACTTATGTCTTAAGAAACGACAAACAAGTCTATATTTTTCCAAGCATAATTCGGATTCGGAAATCCTTAATCGAGCTTTTATCGCACTTACCATGTGAAGTACCATACTTCGACTAGGTAAGGAGTACCATACTTCGACTAGGTAAAGAGTACCATTTTAGAGAATTTTTAGAAACAATAGAATCTCATTAAAACTTTTATAATAGAAATCAAGCTGCTTTCAAATTATTCATGTCGTCTTTAACATTAATACTATAACTTTAGCTAGAAAGCATTTATACTTCCGGCAGAGTTTTTGATTCTTTAGAACAATCATTCGTCTACATGTTGCTTATAATAAATGTAATATATTAATATAGTCCGTTTACTAACCAACTAATTAATAGAAAATCTTGTGCTGGTGCAAAATATTCCACGCCTCTGTGTGGTTACGACTTAAGAAGCGGCGCAAATGCCTTTCTTTATCTCACGCCAATACAACAGAGACTCGGCTTCTGTGTTGTGTCGTGGACCTTGTGGTGCATGTATCTTTCGTTTACTTCCATTTTAGAGTTCGAAGGAATCTAATTTATAGAGTAAACTCGTAAAAGGTAAATAGATTTACTATTTATAATAAAAAGGAAAAGAAGAAACATTCGAGATGGGGAGGGTCCATGTTCCATAGGCCACGGATCGAGTGGAGGACAGTTGGTCGGCTCACTTTCTTGACAATGCTTGTGGACGACATAGATCCTCGAATATGTTAATTTTTTTAGTCCTGAAAATTCATCTTAATTTAACTGATTAGTCTAAACATAGTTAGCAATAGCTAATTTTTGACGGTTTTATATATGAAGTTAGATTGGTTAACAAAACAAAATTTAATGTAATGAGAAAAGTTGATCAACATGTATAATGTATTTATACTAGTTTAACCAATACACCACATCTCATAAAAGACCTGCTTAAAAGATTGGAGATAAAGAGCTAACCGGCATTTTTTGAGTGGTGAGGATCTTTTCATGTGGCATTAGCAGAAACCGAGTTTGTAGCTATTTTCAGAACAACCGTAGTTTTGGCTGGATAGCAAACACAAGTTTAGTAAACGGTTTCTACAACCTCTCGACATTGAATTATACCAATGTTGAGATTTTTAAGTCTCTAAATATTATTTTTAGTATTCTATCCGTTTCATTTTATTTGTCATTTCTAAATTTTTACACATAGATTAAAAAAACATTTAGTTTTATATATTTTCAAGTTAAAACACACAATTACCTATACACCTAACCACTTTTCAACTAATAAAAAATATAATATTATATAAACTAATAAATTTTGTTTCAAAACTCTAAAACGACACTTAATTTATAACAAAAAATTAAGTTTTGAATGACAAGTATTTTGAAACGGATGAGGTATTAAATAGTTTGATTTCTAGGCTTCTAGCACAACCAATATGTGTTTAACAAAAAAAAATGTGTGTTTTCATTTGTTTCGATATCGCACTAACCTCTCGCACAAAAACAGTATATGAACGGATACATTAGCACATAATACTATGATCCAACCATTTTATGTTTTTAATTTACTTTGTTGATAAAAAATATTGACTAGATTAGCAGATGCAAAATAAGGATAATCTCGTGCTATGTGAACATATATCTTCTTTTTTTTAACATATCTTAAATTCAATAGTTTTGAGTAAAACAAAAGAATATCAATATATATGGTCGTCCTCGTATTATATAATTATAAGATGAATAAACTCTTTCAACCACCGGGAGAGTGACACATGTGCAAAGTTTAAGCAATTTTAGAGAGACATCTGATTTAACCGACGGTTGCTAATTTAATTGCTTACCGTCACGAAATTTAAAACCCACCGCAAAACATAAAAATTACAGTAAATATAAAATAATATGTAAACAAAGCAAAAGAGAAAGAGCATGGCACGATGTCATTATCATTCAATCATACAACATGACTCAATGATGATCATTCATCGCTGGAGCCTGAATCTCCATCATACGGCAAAAGTCATCGAAACGAACAAAACCATCACCGTTACCATCAACAGTCGCTATCATACGCACACACTCTTCTAACGTGCACCGCTCATCTCCAATAACTCCAAACACTCTAAGCAACTCCTCCGCCGAGATTCTCCCGTCACGGTCCGCGTCAAAAAACTCAAACACCTCTCTCATCTCCTCCTTCTCTATACACACTTCACCAGATGATGTTCCCGCGACGCGGCTAGCTAGCTCCTCGAGGCTTATACAACCTTCAGCGTCGTCTACTTCTCTAAGCATCATGCTCACCTCTTCAGGACTCGGAGGCTCAGGGCTGAGCCTGCTAAGAAGCGCCGCTAGATCTTTTCTTGAAACCACACCATCGTCATCTCGGTCTATGAGCTTAAACGCTTGGACCAACTCGGTGTAAAAGTCACCGGAGCTTTGTGGGAGAACACTTACGGGTGTAGCGGCGGGGCCTGGCTTGAGGTCAACGTCGTAGGAAGAGGAAGAGGCATCAGAGCTGAAGGAAGAAGGTTCAGATCTTGAGACGGATGCTTTGGACTTGGAGCGGAACATACGTTTAAGGCTAGCGGCGAGCTTCATAATCGGAGAAGAGAAGAGATTTGAGATGTTGTTGTTGTTTAGTGTCTTGTTGGTGTGAGAGGAAAGAGGGAGGAAGGATGGTATTAAATGGGAAGAGGAAGAGAGAAGCCATGGGCAGCTTCCGCGAAGCTTCGTGGTTTTGATGATTTTGATACCTAAATACCCTAAAACACTATCATATCATTATCATATTCATTCATTCATTTCCTCTATTTTCTTCCTTTTCTATTTTTATTATTTTATATTTTTCCGTATTTCTAGATTTACATTTATTATTACGATGACTAACCAATTCAAAATTTATTTCCTCTTGTAACGTACACATGCAACGTATCTACTGGGAGAAAAACACAAACGTATCTGTCTACTTTTTTTTTTTTTTGTAATACTAGGGGTTAAAGAGTTTTGGGTTAAAAAACAAATATGTACTTGTCTCATTACGTAGGAACTTTGTTTGTGTCTGGATTCGGTTTATATCTATGGTCTGACATATTCATAGGCACATGCAGGTCCAGAGTGGTCGTCTAGTCATGACTCGTTTACCTAATTTTTAGTTTTATTTATTTATTGATTGGTGGGGGATTAGAGAATGTTTAGCGATTTATTTCCTTTTAATTTTTTATGTGTTTATTTACTTTAGGCAATTAACGTAAAGAATCTAAAGATTGGTTCAGAATCTTTTCTATGACACGCGAAAGAAAATCGGTGAGAAAAAAGGTTATTATCATTTTTTATTTGTCATTTTGAAAATCTAGTCTTTGATATTAAAAAGCCTATTGCATGGGAGACTTCAACACAATAACAATACTATTTGATGACTTTGTATATAACATTCTCTTTTAGTGCTAAAGTAAACATCGGCGTGGCCAAACATGTTATGTGTGCGTGTTTTTCTTTGTTAAAGGATTTACAAACCAAAAAAGTTCCAATATCATTAGCAAGACAATTCAATACTTCCGGCTACATAAACAATTGAAAAATCTCCATAGAACGTAAGACGCATTACTTGGTACGGCCGACTCTGGTCTTATAAAAATAATTTGTGTCTAGAAGTTAGAACTGATGACATAAGTTGATATAACCGAATATTTTAACTTTATCTATTGACATTCAAAGATATCCATTTCTAGAATGATAAGAAGCAGTATCCATAGTGTTTATGCTGTTGTTGCTTTCTCAGTACCTGAAGTAATCACAAATGTATATGTAACTAGGAGCAGTCGTATTATCGTTACAATACAGATGCAATCACAAATGACAATGCCCCAAAAGACCAAAACATTTAGACATAACACATCATTAGTGGTCAGAGTCAGAGCATAGATGTGTTATTTCACCAAAGCATGGGCTTTAAATGGAATTCAGGTTAACCATAATGGGCTTGTAATATACTCGTTATAGCCCATAGGGGTGAGCACAAGTATCAGATCCATGAACCAAAGGCAATATGGAAACTTGTAACATGCAACCGGACTAATATGGAAAGTATTCATAAATGAATAATACTAATATGGAAATCATAGTTCTAGTAGTTCAGAATATACCCTGCCATATTCTTCTAGTTACTTCTAGACGAGATTTAAAGTCAAAACGTCAGAGGTAGAACAAAGACTTTTCAGACCCTAACCAATATATACTTGTTCTTCAAGTAAAACTCGTAGCGCCCAAGTCCAAAACCTCTCCTTATTTCCATTATTCCTAATTTCCTATATATATAAAGCAGATACGTTAACACACGTTAACTATCTCTAATCACAAATTTACTTTGAGTTTTCGATTTGATTGCAAAAAATATAATGTCCGGTCTTCTTCAGTTCAATTTCTTCCCAACCGATTTCTATTATCCGAAGCCAAGCCGTGTAGAAACCGCTGACATGTCTCTCAAACCTTGTGTTCAATCAGTATCTTCATACGGATTCAAGAAAGATATGGCGATCGTTGTTGGAGAAAAGAACCAGAGTGGTTTGGTTCGTTATGTCAACGGCGAGATAAAACGGCGTGGATCATCTGATGCAGCTACGTTTCTTGAGTATTGTGACTCTACCAGTTAGTTTCTTTTTATAGTTTTGACTGAATAAAATCTTGCTATTTTTATTTTAATACTTGTTCTCGAATATTATCACACATTATTTGTAATGAATTCTATTACTTTATATCTCATGCCCTGGTTAATTGCTACTAGTTTCATCAATAGCATTGATATGTTTGAAGAGTGTTTTGTTCTCTCCCAGATTACAACAGTTACCTAACAACATTAATGGAAGAACCAACCCATGTGACCATGTGGACTGGTTTGCAGAGAACATGGCCACTTGAAAACGAAACTACTTTTTGCAATAATACTATACATGAATGAAGAATCAATGATATATGGAAGTAACTAAAATCATTGAAGATATGTGAACACATATAGAGAGAAAGCAATAGACTGAGGCAAAGGAACATTGTATTCATACCAACCAATTTACATTCCCATTAGTCTCAAATTCAAACCTGAAGCTAGAACGTGAATTAGAAACATAATTTATGACCTCAAGAAGACAAAAAACATAAACGAAAGAAAGCGAATAGACAAGAGAATATTGCATCAGCAATCCATCATTTTATAGCCCATAAGTTACTTAAGGTTCTTGTGTTGCTAAACAGTTTTCTTGCAAATAAATCAACCAGCTCTGAGAGCACATACTCCAATCAGAAGCAAGCATCCAAGAGACAGCAACAGCAGAGAGCAGCAAGACTGCAAAAATCAAAAAACATTGTTCACATTCTTATATTCGTTTTAGTCTCTGATAATAACAATTCTATAAGTAGTATATCTAGTATCCATTACTCATAACACAAAACTAAATATGCAAGGTTATAAGCATTAAAATTTAAATAGTTGATGTAAATTCACAAGATGGAAGCATGATCACCCTAAACACACGCAATATAGATGCAATTTTCACACTTTTTAATAAGGATTCAAGCTATACCTAGAAACATTCTTAGGTGTAACCACATTAAACTTTTTTTTTTAAGAATCTGAACGTTGAATAATCAAACAGTGATAATAGCCACTCTACATAGATCCATACGAGAGTCACAAGATGATTAGATCGAATGTATTTTTGGACATACCATCCTTCTAGACACCCTGGACCGGTCTTTTGATGCTGCTGCTGATGCGGTGGTGGCGGAGGATATTGAGGCGCATACGGAGGAGGATATCCTTGCTGAGGATACCCCTGCTGTGGTGGATAGCCTTGTGGTGGATAGCCTTGCTGTGGAGGGTATCCTTGCTGTGGAGGGTAGCCTTGCTGTGGAGGGTAGCCTTGCGGAGGATAGCCCTGAGGAGGATATCCTTGCGGTGGATAACCATCTTTTGAATATCCCTCCGGCGGATAACCTGATTCAGATCATCAAAAGTTAAGCAAAGAGATGATCAGATCTAATGATGGAATAGGCGAGAGAACCTTGAGGAGGAGGAACACCAACGGGAGGTTGACTCATTGTTAGGTTTCTAATAAACGTGTACGTCAAGAAAACAAATTAGATGAAAAAGGAGAAGGAGATGAAGCACAGTTTCACACACCACCTAGATCCTACAAAAAGTGAGAGTAGTTATAGGAGCGTTAGAGAAAGTGAAGGAGATGGAAACGAGGATGAGAGTGTTTTAAGTAACACGCGTTTTTATCTCAATCGTTAATATACACCTCATGTAACTAACCACCAGTTATATGTTAAGTATTACAACAACTTTCACGAGGTTTCTGCCCTTTTCCAGATAATATCTCTCTGTTTGTTTTAAATTAAATTAAAATAATTATACTATGTTCGTTAGTTGTTGCTTTCTCTCTGTAACTAAAAAAAAAAGATTTTTTTTTTTTTCACAATTAAATGTAGATAATCACGTCTTAGCTACTTTTCTGTTTCCCATACCATATGTTCTCACAGACTGGTTGTGGGTAAGAAAAGGAGTGTTTACCAACACTAAACTTAAATATATAATAATAATTCCCTAATAAGCAACAAAATGAGAACAAAATGACTTGGAATTTAATTTGTTTGTTTTGATTTGGTTCACGAGAATCATTTGAAGATAATGATTCTTTTTTAAATATATAGTGTTTTCTCGTTTTTTTATAAAACAAATAAAATTATTTATTCTTGAAATTATATTTATTTTATCTATTATTCTTATATTAATTTTATTTAAATTTCATTTTTTTATTTACAATTTTTTGAATTTTCTTATTTTGGGATTTTTTTATAATTTCTTTTATGTTTTTCTTATTTTTAATATTTTATTAATAAGATATTTTAATTATTTTGCGATTTTTTAATGTTTATGATTTTGCTGATTTTTTGAATTTTTTTCTGATTTTTTCAATTTTTAATGAATTTTTAGTGATTTTTAATGAATTTTTATATTTTCTGTATTTTTAACTTGATGTACAAGTAAGCCAGATTGGAGGTTTAATATGCTAAATTACTTGAGTGTTTAAAATGCTTGTAAAATACTCTCAGTGTTTAAAGTGTAAGTGGTTGCCACCTTGAAGGTTTTTTATGCGATTTTCCCGAAAAAAAAAGAAAATTAGTTTTTTAGGAGAGAGAGATAGGAAGAAAGAAGGGGAGAGAGAATGTGATTTTAGCTATTTAGTGCATTTGTGTTTTTTTTTTTTATGGTTATAGGGACCTATTTTCCATTATTAATCACTTCTGAGGCTTTTATTGGTTTTTGTAACTTTAAAAATGTTAAAACCTAGTTGACAAAAAAAAAAATGTTAAAACCTACGTGTCATCCACGATGTCGTATTAGATCCAAATGGCAATTTCCTATTGGTTCCATGACGCCTAAAGGTAGAAAACTTGCTCTCTTCATCGAAACGTAGCTTAAAAACCAAATCCAGAAACGCGGGGAACCGAAATTCAACCCAACAGATCCGCCATGGCACGTCGTAAGAGACCTTCTCGAACATCAAAACCCGACCCACCATCAGAACCCATATCGGAGCAGAACACAACCCGGAACACTCCCGATGACGTCTTCCATCTATCCCCTCCCAAACTGGGAACGATCTTCGTGATCTCCACTCTCCTCTGCTCACTCCATCTCTACCTCCTCTGTTTCCACTACAACGTCGAAACGGAGCTGAGAAGCTCCATCCTCATCAACGCGGGGCTTAGCTTTGTGGGCTTCTTCGTCACACTCAAGATGATTCCCGTAGCTGCCAGATACGTTCTGAGGCGTAACATGTTTGGTTTCGATATTAATAAGAGAGGAACTCCTCAGGGAGAGATTAAAGTGTGAGTCTTTGATCGAAAGTTTCTTCCTTTCAATATGTTTATTTATTTATTGTGTTTTTGTTTTCTTTTTTTTTAAAACAGGCCTGAGTCGTTGGGTATTGTTGTTGGTGTTGTGTTCTTGATCGTGGCGATTATATTTCAGTACTTTAATTTCACTGAAGATTCTAATGTAAGTGTGCTGATGATTCTGTTTTTTTTTTTTTTATTATTATCAATGTTAATGAATGTTATGATTTTGTGTAGTGGCTTGTGGAGTATAATGCAGCACTTGCTTCTATTTGCTTCATGATTTTGCTTGGGTTTGTAGATGATGTCCTTGATGTGCCTTGGAGAGTGTAAGTTTTTATTTTTGGATAATATTCAACTAGAGAGTTTAGTTCACATGACTCTTTGTCAATTTAAACAACAGGAAACTTGCGTTGCCGTCTTTTGCTACACTTCCACTGTTGATGGCTTATGCTGGACATACAACTATTGTTATACCGAAACCTCTAGTTGGTTACGTTGGCTTGGAAGTTCTTGATCTAGGTACGGATTCCATGATTGTATCTTTGGAGGAGGTAATAATGATTCATGATTAGCTTCAATAGATGTTTCAATGTTGCAGGAAGGATATATAAGTTATATATGGGGTTGCTTGCGGTATTTTGTACAAACTCTATTAACATTCACGCTGGTTTGAATGGACTTGAGATTGGTCAGACTGTTGTTACTGCCGCTGCGGTAAGTCCTATGGTCATAACTTTTTTTTTCTATTATCTGTTCCTTTTTGGGTTGAGATGTGATGCGTCCCCTGTTACTTGTAGATCTTGATACACAACGTTATGCAAATTGGTTCATCTACTGATCCTGAGTATCACCAAGCTCATGCCTTTTCGATATACCTTACTCAACCTCTGATGGCAACTTCCTTGGCATTGCTTGCTTTCAATTGGTAAAACCATTCACAAGATTTTCTCTTTTACACTTTGTTGAAGTAATGCTTTATCTGACCAGTTCTTGGCCATCTTATGTTGTTAGGTATCCTTCTTCAGTTTTTGTTGGAGACACTTACACAGTCTTCGCTGGAATGACTATGGCAGTTGTTGGCATTTTGGGTCACTTCAGGTATATTTTCATAACCTTCATCATCTGCTCATGTATCTAACTAGTGTATGTTCCTGCAACTGATTACCATGCCATCTTCCTCTTCTAAATGCTTTTGATTTGGCAGTGAAACCCTCCTCATCTTCTTTGTTCCTCAAATTCTGAACTTTGTGTTGTCGGTTCCTCAGGTATACTCTTCTCCAGCATACTTATAAACTTGTCAGCTCATGTGTTTAACCATCTAACATACTATATATAACCTCTTCAGCTTGTTGGCATTGTGAAATGTCCACGCCATCGTCTCCCAAGGTAAAACCATCTTATGTTGTTCTTACCTTTTGTAATTTGATTAAAGAACAAACACATAAACTCTAACTTGTTGTTTTTGGGACATACAGGTTTGATCCTGCAACCGGATTACTAACCGGAACAAAGGACGGGACTCTCGTCAATGTTTACTTGAGGCTGTTTGGTCCTAAGTCAGAAAAATCTCTCTGCATCCATCTTCTTGTCTTCCAGGTAGGTCTCTCAGGAGATGTTCATTACAATTTTTATTAAATGAATTTAGTCGCTATTGGTTTTGTGATACTCTGCTTTGTTTTCTACTACAGGCTCTAGCGTGCGCCTTCTGTTTCGTACTTCGATACTTTCTAGCTGGTTGGTACAAATAAATTTGCATCCTGAAGAGTCTTTGGAAGATCCTGTCTCTCTCTGTTCTTGAGACAAATCACACATACATAACATAACTTCTGTTCCTTGTATAATCCAATATAGCAAATCATCTTTTTCTTTTTTTGTTAACATGGTGTCAAGGATCATCTTCCTGAGTTTTGATAAAATACTCGACAAGATTACAAATCAACACCATTTTAAAGATTCTCTGTAATAAGTTAATCACTAAACACATCAATTCCAAGTTGCTTTTCATCTCGCGCAAATGTGAAGAGTAAAGAAGCTAGAGATCTATGTCCATTGTTTCCAGAGCTTGATGGTACGATCATGTGATACAGTTGCGATACAAGAGCTATCTGTAGTGATATCTAGAGAGGCGACTTTTGAGTCATGTCCTGCTAAGCTTTTAACTAGCGAGAAATCTCTGCCTGACCATATCTGTTTATAGAAAAATAGAATCAAACTATGAGGAAGTGAAACAAAAAGATTGATTACAAGAAAGACTTTAGGCAGTGGGGGACTAGAGAAGGACTTACATTGACTTTCATGTCGTATGATGCAGTAGCCAGGAAGTAGCCTTCTTGTGGTTCATACAGCATAAATAACAGAGATTAGTATCTGTTTAAGAAAGAGGATCAAAGGAAACATAACTTGGTCTTACGGGTTTGATGTGTCCTTAGAAGACGAGAATACTTTTACCAGTGCGGAGATCCCAAACCCTTGCAAGTGAATCAAGACCAGAGGAAGCTGTTGAAATGCAATTCCATAGACACTGCGACTGTGACCTTCTTGCAAAAGCAGCTCTGCTCCTGTGTTTTTATATCCCACAATCTCCATGTTTTGTCAAAGCTCGTTGTCCCGAGGTACTTCCCTGACGGGTGGAAGGCAACACGTGCAAGACGGTCCAAATGCCTTCAAAAGTTTGTAGCAGCGTTCCATCAGTTTTCCACAGCTTAGCAGTTCGGTCAGCAGATGCAGTTGCTAGGCAATCATCCACAGGGGAGAACACTACATCAGTTGCATGTTCTTTGTGAGACTTCAAGACAGTATTAATCTTGTTTGTAACTTGAGGCATCTCCCATAATATAGTAACTCCACTTAGAGAAGTAGCCAAAGAAAACAAACCAAAAATTACTAAAAAAGATGTGAAACCACACAAGCCAAGAAGCAAGAGAATGTGTAATGAGAAGGAGATAAAAGAGAGAGAGAGAGAGACGTACCACGTGGCAGGTATATTTCCATCTCTTGAGAAGGAGCAGGCAGTAAGAGGACGATCATCCGCAAAGCTAGTGCAATCAAGGACCATGTCTTTAGCCTGCTTTAAAGCACACTTATTCTCTGCATCATACACATCATCTTCATCTGGATCATCTCTCTGCCTCCTTGCACGCTCAGCCTCAGCAGCTCTCTTGATAGAATATCTAGCAATGTCTATTCTAGCCTCTCTAAGCTCCTTTGGACCTTGAGTAAAAAAAGGGTATTCAACTTCTTCTTCGTGAGCTCCAAGCAGCTTATCTAGCAATGTCTATTAGTACCAAGTTTCTCTTTTAAAAAAAGAAGAAAAAATTGTCTTCATATTTATTTTCCTTGTTATGTGATCATATGATTGTTTGTTAAAAAAAAAAAAAAAAGAGAGATGATATGATTGTTATGATTTTATAAGGTGATTTTTCGGAACGGAGCTCCCACGTTAAAAGTTGGAGCGGTTAATATCGTTTATATCCTTAATGAATAAAATACATATTAATTAATTAAAATTCTTAATTTTATATAATTGAAAAGATAATATTGAATAATTTTTAAGCTAAATAAAAAATTTCAAAATGAAAACACAAATAATAATTTATGCTTCTAATTTTTTATTATTAATATATTTACTAACAAATAATTATAAAAGTTTTAAGCCCGCATGGCGGGCAAAACACCTAGTTATAATATAATATTTGGATTTTGATATGATTGTTATGGTTTGTAGCATTATAAGATTTACAAGTGTTTAAAACTATAAACAAAATTGAAGAATGAATAAGAGAATACCGTTGAATTTTGAATAAGAAATTTGTATCATCATATGATGAGTGTTTGTAAACGCTTGACACGATGTCGTTTGAAGCGTAAACCGAATAAGACCCGATCACCCACCCACCCACTTTAAAATTTGATTTGGGCCCATCTCTCTCTGTGGTCAAATGGGAAATTGTGTAAGAAGCAACCTAAGCGACTTCAGAGGGAGACGATCGATGGATCCTCGGATATGGCACAAAGTCGCCGCGGTTTCTGGTAAGGAGAAAGAGATCTTTGATTTTGATTTTTGTAACGAAGGGTACTGACTTCGTCTAACTACGGTAGGCATGGCAGCTCTTGGTTTAGGAACCTACGGTGCCCATGTCTTTAAGCCAGAAAACCCTTCTTACAAACAGGTTGAGTTTTGTAGTTGCTTTTCTTTCAATTAGCTATCTATCTGGGGTTTTATAATAGTTCTTGTGTTGGATTTGTGTCTAAACAACAAGTTATGATCTTTCTTTCAGGTGTGGCAAACGGCTTCTCTGTACCATTTGGTTCACACGGCAGCTCTTGTTTCTGCTCCTACCACCAAATATCCCAACATTGTAAATATCTCTTGTTTGTTGTTGTTGAGTCTTTCTTTCCCCTGTTTATACTTTTACTTATCTCTCTTTCTTCCACAGTTTGGTGGGTTGTTGACTGCTGGGATTGTGGCCTTTTCCGGCACGTAAGTTGTTGTTTCTTTTCTCGCGTTTTTCTTAAATTTTGGAATTAGAACTCATGAATGGATCTGTTTGTTGGTTGAGAATGTTTGCTGGATGTCTTGTAATTTGGAGTTTCCTGTACGAAGACTAGTCTCTGGCACCATCAATGTTTGCCCACAATACTGAAGTTGATCTGATTAGCATAGGTATCTCTGTATCTAAGCTAATGATTGTATTGGGAAGGAGTCTGGAAATATTATTATATGCATTGCATTTTAGTTAGTATTATATACAAACAACCCGGAAGCAGAAACGCTCTCATCCTTTTCAAAATATTAGCAAAGATATAATGTTAAGTCTCATTGGTATTGAATAGAGAAGAAAGCTTTGATCATTTATACCCCAATAAAAACCCATAGCTGATCTGATTATACGTCCCAAGGTACTTACTGCAACAATATCGAATGCCAATCGTTAATCATTACACTAGCAATGTAACAAAATAGCTAACCTGTATGCTATGCTAATATAAAGAACAAGAACTCGGTGAGCAGAAGAAGGAAACGATTTATTGAAATCTTCTTGATCATCTTTAAGATCTGTTAGGGATTCTCACTAACGAATGCATTGGCTTCAACCATTGCACTCTTCAGAGATTTTCTTCATCACTAAAGAACTAACTCAACAAAAAGAACATAACATATACAAGACACAAACACAAAGTCAACACTAAAACATACATATTATCTTTATTGTAAGTACCACAGCTGTATTGATTTTTTTCAGTTTATGTATCTTTGAACTGTCCTTATGTTGATAATTCTGAGCAAATAGCACATATCATCTACTCGTGAAGGAGAATCATGACAAGGACTTACTTGGTATGCCAGGACCACTGATAAGAAGAGGAGATAAGTACGAAGAGGTTTCTGAGTTGAGTTAGGAGAAAGAAAGACATATGGGGTTGTGTGGTTCGGTTCGAAGGACGAGAGATGTGATGAAGATCTAAGAAATCTGAGTAATTGAAAGGTTTTTAAGAAAAGGAAAGTGTGGGTAAGAAGAATAATCCTTTTCCTTATCCCTGAGAGGTTTTCCTTTTTCTAAATATGTCAAATCTCGTTTATATAACTAAGCAGCCTACCTCTCTGTATCTTCTTATTATTGTGATGATGATAATGGAAAAAAAACGTAGATTGATGATGACAATGGAATGGCTGCCCCACGACGTGGTAGAGGCCGAAATCTTGGGGAGACTTCCGGTGAGATCTCTGATGAGATTCAAGTGTGTATCGAAGCAATGGAAATCAACGATCGAATCAAGAAGCTTCCAAGAGAGGCAGTTGAAGCATCAGCAGTCAGGAGGAGGAAGAGATCCAGATGTTCTCATGGTGTCCGCAAGTGCTGACGAATCTCTAAGAACACTGGTATTGGGTTCATCCTCATCGGTCAAGATCCCTACTCCTTGGGACAAGGAGAAAGCAACAACATCCTACTTGGTGTCCAATAACAGCTGTGACGGTCTCGTTTGTCTCTACCATCCCTTCAAATCAGGTTATGTTGTCAACCCCGCCACAAGATGGCATCGTCCTCTCCCTCTATGCCAACTTCAACAACTCATGGTCACACAAGGAAAGGCTTACTTAGAGAAGGACCACGGAATCTTTAAGCCTGGATTCGGCAAAGACATAATATCATCTACTTACAAGCCTGTTTGGCTATACAACTCTTCAGAAATAGGCCTTGACAATGCTACCACGTGCGAAGTTTTCGACTTTAGCACCAATGCTTGGAGGTATGTGACTCCCTCTGCTCCGTATCGTGTTGTTGGGATCGCCGATTCCGTGTTTGTTGATGGTTCACTTCATTGGTTCACTGATTGCGAGGAGGAGACCAAGATTTTAGCTTTTGATCTTCACACGGAAGCTTTTCAAGTCATCTCTTGTAAAGCTCCCTTTCCCGCCAATTCACATCCTTACGCCATCGTCTTGTGCAACCTCGACAATTGTTTGTGCGTGTCACACATGAAGTGGCCTGACCAAGTTATATGGTCCTTTAATTCAGGCAACAAGACGTGGGATAAACTTTACTCCATCGATCTGGTTATGACTTCTATGTTATATAATTCCCCAAAACTATGCGCCTTCCGTCCACTAGCACTTTTGAATGCAAAGAAGAAGAAGAAGAAGAAGGATAATAAGATGATACTGAAGAAAGATAAGATGATGAAGAAGCAGAAAAAGAAGAAGAATTTGCTGTTTTACGACAGTATGAGAAGTCGATATCTGATGATACATGACCCCGAAACCGATCCAGACGATTTTACTTTCGAGGCTGAATGCATGGGATTTCTTGTTTGTTATTTCCAGACTTTAATCTCTATTTGATTTGTCTTGAATAATGCCATAATATGTGTAACCCTCCCTTTCTTTTCGAATTGATATCTTAGAACTTGCCAGGTATTTGCTTTCAAAAATTTTCATCTTTTATGTTATTGTAATGTTTGATGTTTTTTTGTTTAAAGACAGCTGCCAAAAAGTGTGTGTTGGAATGTGTTTCTGAGAAGAAGAATGATGTAAAGACACGATCAATTCGGCATTATATTTTATCTTGTTTAAGTGGACTCATCTTCACCTGCTATCTTACTCGTTAAGCTATTCAATGCATTGAAGATCCCAGGGGCCACTAGAGAAGTTCTCAACAATAATGATATAATGTTTTTAAATACTTCCAAAATTTTCGTTAAGCAAAACTGCTCTCATTACAAAACTTATGATGATGCCATGGTTGGTTTCGTGGTGGGGGGAAACGGATTTTGATCAAGTTTTTGTTGTACTTCTACTATTGCCACCACTCATTTTCTTTCTCTTCTTTGGGTGTTGTCCCTTTTGGCGTTCGTCTCTCTTCCTCTTCATTGTTTCCTTATGGTGTGATTTTCCAACCAACGAAGGTTGCTCTTTCAGAGCAAAGCTCTTGGCGACATGACCCAAGTGAAGCTTCTTCACCACAAAGATGCTCTTGAGCTCTCCCTTGTGAGCTTTAAGGTAGAAACGTCGTTTCAAGACTACTTACATATGCACAAACTCAGTAGCTTCCCCGGGACAGTCATATTGTATATAATAGATCTTACTTTTGGGAAATCCAAGCCTCTAGCAGCAACATCTGTACTCAAGAGAAGAGCTTGTTTCTCTGCTTTAAAGGTCGCAAACGCAGATCTTCTATCCTCCTGCTCCATACTTCCATGTAACCTGAACGTTTTGCACTTAAGAAAAAGCTCTTTCGTCGCCTCCTCTTCTTGTGTCTCTGAATTTGGTGGCCACTGGAATTCACTCAGAAGTGAGTGATGAAAATCTACAGCATCACGTGTTGAAAAGAATACAACCACCTGTAAGAAAATAGCCACATAAAACCTCAATCAAATAGACTGTTCAATGACAAGAACTTTCAGATATGTTGTGCTTGAGATTTACCTTTTGAGAAGCTTCTCTCTCAAAAAGGTTCTTGAGTACAGAAAGAAGCGCCACAAGCCGTGCACCACATGGCACTGTATACAATAGACATCTGTTACAAAGAGCAGATACAACATCGAATAATTCAAAAAGATTCAAGTGAAGACAAATGTACCTTTTAACATATTCAAGTGAAGATGACCCATCGAAGATTCTTGTGCTCAAATGAAGCTGTGTTCTTTAAATGGTCAAGAAGGCGTCCTGGGGTTGCAATTAGAATAGATATCCCTCAAGTAACAAAAGCAAACAATCATTAATATCTTGCACACAGTAAAACAATCATTAAATGCTAACATGTGAAACGAAGAAAAGACCACTCCTTTCCTTAGCCTAGCCTTCTTCTCGCCTCCCATAACATAACCAGGGACACTCGTACACTTGAAGGCATAGCTCCCGTGTCGGCACAATCACCAAAGCTGCCAAAATACAACGTCACCAAGCATCAATAACAGGAATAGATTGAGCTTGTACATGCGTAGGAGCTTCAAAACCCATCCTTTCTGTTTAAATTTGACAAAAAAAAAACCATTAATGAACAGTAAGTACAAAGCTCGTTAAAACATGTATATGCACAAAGATGTGTAAAGAGAGAACCTTGGAGCCGGTCAGAGAGTTTGGGATCTACGAACTTGCTTTGCTTTCTCTCTCGCCGCTCGTATTTGGGCCCTTAAGAAATTGGGCCTATAAACTCTGAAAGGCTTTGCTATATTTCCAGTCTGTCGACATTCAAATCACTTTATAAACTCGTAAATAAAACTTTTAGTGTTAAAAGTATATATTGCCCCTCCCAACTTTTAATAACACATGTCAAAACTAAACAGTATATTACCCGCGCTTTCAATGCACATGTCAAAATCTAGTTCTACTATTAAAGCAGAATCATTCTTATGATTATGCCTTTGATTTTTGAGAAAAATTACAAAACTATACCACTAACTTCTATTTATTTAAATTAAATAAGCAAGTACTCTCTATATCTATGGGAACTAATACTTTCCATATTTTTGTCAAAGATAATAATTCTGATTTTTATGACAATTTTACTTTCCATTTAATTTTAATATAATTTTTAGTAAATAATAATATTAAAATATCAAATGTAGGTATATACATGAATGTTTAAAAATATTATTTACTATGTAATTTTCTACATAATATTAATATCGCAATTTTGAGTGTTCAAAAATAATTTAAAACCTATTATAAAATTAAATTTTAGATCTGAAATAAGTAAAATATAAACATAGAATAGGTTATTAAAAACAAAAGGAAACTAAAATGTCATATCAATTTTTTTTGTTTTTTTCTATTACCATTGTTTCGTTTTCTTCAAATGACATAATAAAATTTCTTCAAATTATAAGGAATTAAGAAATCAATTTTATATAATGTTAAAAAAAACATGAGTTATTCAAAAAATTAAAAGTATTATTAGATTTTTTTGGGTTTTTAGTGGATCAACCAATTTCGGATCGCAATTTTTAAATTTTTTTACCAGATTGCAACGAGCTTTTAGTTAAAAAAAAGATTTCATTAAATTCAAACTGGATTATACACAAGTGTCTGAATTTATCGCTTCAATTATATATGTGAATCAAATATAAACATACTACTTAAAAATCAAACATTATAATAAATCAATTTTTGAAATACTATTAAAAGAAATTTTTAATTATTTTTTTAATAAAAGTTATATTTTTAGTCAAATTTTATTAAAACAAAAAAATATCCGCGTTTTAAATTTTTGGAATATTAATAAACTGTATTTTTAATTCTTTGTTTTTAATAAAAGTTATATTTTTAATAAAATTTTATTAAAAAAAACTATCCGTATTTTGAAAGCGTGGATCAAAATCTAATATTTTTTAATTGAGGATAATTATAAATTTTTGTAGATTTTATTTCACACAAAAAAATGATGTTTTTATCCAAAATCTTTATGCTATCGATAAATTTATTATATATAACGGATCAATTCCAACAGCCTTTCAAACTAGTACTTTTTGTAATTGACTCTATAGCTTCTTCAATAAATGCTTGTTCTTCGATCAAGTTTTGAATGACTTTCTAGTCAGATCGTTCATGGGTTTAGGATATGAAGTCTCGTTCGAAGTTTTAGACAAAGGTGCTATTGAGATATTGGGCCCTTATGAAACTATATATTTGTATGTTTATGTCAATTTGAGCATATTGGTTTTATATCATTGAACTTATGAGTCTTTGAGATGAATCATGAAATATTTGGTCTCATTTGTTTCCCTTCTTTATAGGTAAGTCTTGAACATTGAACTGCGAAGTGTTTCGATGTAACTCAAGCCTCAGCCTCTGATTTAAAACCAACAAGTTTCACTCTCCAAGCACATCACAAACCAGCCACCTCCGTCTAATGTAATAAGTAAACGATTAGTAAATATTAGCCATCGCAGTATTGAGCCATCCGAGCGTCTCTCTCCGCCACCGATCCGCCTCCGTTCAGTATCAACGCCGCCGTCATCCCCTCCGATTTATTCGCCCACTCTCTCTGTCTTTGTACAGACTAAACAAATCTCCGTTGACTATCCAAGTATAAAGCTTGTCACGTTGACATATACGATTACAAGACACAAGACAAAGTCAACATTATACATGCACATTATCTTTGTTGTATTCACTTTTTTCAGTTTATGTCTCTCTGAACTGTCCTTATGTTGATAATTCTGAGCAAATAGCACATATCACCTATGTCAGGACCACCAATAAGAACATATAATACTAGAATCTTTTTTTTTCTCTGATAAAATTTACTAGGATCTTTTATATGCCCACTTTATAATGTCATTCTGGAACCTATGGCAAGAGAAGATACACGTAAATAGCATCGATCAAATTATGATGGGAACAATTATATGCAACAAGATTATTATTATTATTCTCTCCAAAGAATCTGGAACAATTAATTCTTGGCCACATCATGTGTTTCGGACAGCTCTGCATCCACCATGCACGGAATAACAGCCAATATTATGTGTGGTCCTAAGGGGTCTAACAAAGTACCAAGCTTAATAGTCAAACTCAAATGCTACAATAACTGACAAGATAAACTGATGCAAATATGGTCAAGCATGGTTTCAGTGAGGTCACTAGAGGGTGGTGAGCAAGATTCTCTTCTCTAAACCTGAGCTCAAGTACCATGAGACCTAAGTAAGGTCCCTACTGTTTACATGCTCTGACAGTAAGTAGATCTAAGATACAAACAAAAAAAGTAATGGCAATAAAGCTATATAATGAACAGAACACAAGTTATATGAACCTTTCCTTTAAATAACACTTTTCTACCTCATTTTTAACCTCAAATTATCCCCTACTTGCCTCAGATCATCCAGTCTTTTCAGTTTCTCTCAACAAAGTAAAAATGAGATTGACCTCATCCTTACGGTTCCATAGACAAAACAACAAGAGTTTCCTCAGAATCTTCATGCTCTTGGTTCTTAGCTGTATACCAGGTAGAACCAATCTTTGTTCCAATCATTCAGATATTCGTTCCTCTTTAGATTCACTCGATTTGGACGGTTACATAACCTTTGATGATGTCCACAATGCGTCCAAGGACTTTGGCAACAGATACCAGTTACCACCTTTAGCAATTCTCCATCCGAGGTCAGTTTCTGATATTTCAACAGTGATCAGACATATCTTACACCTGGGATCCACCTCAAATCTTACAATAGCAGCCAGAGGTCATGGTCACTCGCTTCAAGGACAGGCTCTAGCTCATCAAGGTGTTGTCATCAACATGGAGTCACTTCCAAGTCATGGTATCAAGATTTACAAAGGGACACAACCGTATGTTGATGTCTCAGGTGGTGAATTATGGATCAACATTCTAAGGGAGACTCTAAAACACGGTCTATCACCAAAGTCATGGACAGACTACCTTCATCTAACTGTTGGAGGTACTCTGACTAATGCTGGTATCAGTGGTCAAGCGTTCAAGAATGGACCCCAAATCAACAATGTCTACCAGCTAGATATTGTCACAGGTAACTTCATTATACTATATATATATATGCACCTGCAAAGTATATGCATCTCTGAACACTTAAAATATGTTTTCAACATTAAAATAAGAGTGTGTAGTCGCCAATATGTAAACATGCAAGCACACTTGTAACTTGCAGTAAAGAAAGATGAGATAAACAATATATTTCACATATTGAATCAGGCAAAGGAGAAGTCATGACTTGTTCTGAGAAGCTGAATCCTGAACTTTTCAACAGTGTTCTTGGAGGGCTTGGACAGTTTGGCATAATCACCAGGGCACAGATCTCTCTTGGACCAGCACCACATATGGTAAAGTTCTATTCAGAACATGTACAATATGGTTCTAAGCACCAGTTTCTTGACACAGTGGAATGATTTTTTTTTTTAAATAGGTTAAATGGATCAGGGTACTTTATTCAGACTTCTCTAGATTCTCAAGGGACCAAGAACATTTGATTTCTAAAAAAAAAGGTTTCGACTATGTGGAAGGATTTGTAGCAATCAATAGAACAGATCTTCTCAGTAACTGGAGGTCATCATTTAGTCCCAATGACTCCACAAAGGCAAGCCAGTTTAAATCTGATGGAAAAACTCTGTATTGTCTAGAAGTGGTGAAATATTTCAACAAGGAAGAAGCTAACTCTATGAACCAGGTGTGATGTGAAAGCAAACTATAATCTCAATTTTTTGGTTTCTAACGTAGCAAGAGTGGTTGCCCTGCAGGAAACAGAGAAGTTACTTTCAGAGTTGAGTTATATACCATCTACTTTGTTCTCATCTGTTGTGCCTTACATAGAGTTTCTGGACCGTGTGCATCTTGGGGAGATAAAACTTAGAGCTAAGGGTTTATGGGAGGTTCCACATCCCTGGCTGAATCTCCTGGTTCCCAAGAGCAGCATATTTGAATTTGCTACAGAAGTTTTCAACAACATTCTCACAAGCAACAACAATGGACCTATACTTATTTATCCAGTTAATCAATCTAAGTAAGTGAGCAAAACCAGTTGCAGTGAATCTGAAAAAAAAGAATTTACTAACACTTTTTGTGTGTGTTTCAGATGGAACAAACATACATCATTGATCACTCCAAATGAAGATATCTTCTACCTTGTGGCCATTCTCCCCTCTGCAGTGGAAAATGATCTAGAGCACCTTTTGAGACAAAACCAAAGAGTGCTCAACTTCAGTAAAGAAGCAAACATGGATGTGAAGCAGTATTTGCCTCACTATGAGACTCAAAGAGAGTGGAGATCACACTTTGGAAACAAATGGGAAACATTTGCAAAAATGAAACATGAGTACGACCCTCTAGCGATTCTAGCACCTGGTCACAGAATTTTTCAAAAGGCAACACAATTATAATCATATTCAACTTCAATAAGCCAGTAGAGCAACATACATGCATACATGTCCGTACCATAAAAAATAAGCAGCAAGAGAGTGAAATTGATTTTATAGACACTGAGAGATTGTATAGAATCCATGAAAGCTTACAAAAAATGGCTTTACATTTTCCATAGATACATTGAGGCATCAGTATCTGTTTCTAGTTTCCCAACAAGTAAAAGATCATGTTTTTGCTAAAGACATTACAACATGTTGTCTTGTCTATGTACAAAGTGTCTAAAATGTCTAGATCCTATGTCTATAGTCTTAAACCAAACAATTGACAATTCACCCCATTAGTGCAAAACTGCAAATACATAAGCTTTGTCACTCACGTGTGAAGTAACACATTCACAAACACACGTGTGTGTTATATTATTATTATAATTGTATTTATTTTTATTTAATTTTTTCAAGGGCGGTCCTCAGGCGAACCAGACGCTCCTGTGAATGGCGAGGAAGCAAGTTTTGTAATAAAACTCACTAATAAGCAACCCCCTGTCAAAAAACCCTAAACACACTTCTTCAACCTCAATACTCAACGAGATTCGTTTTTCTCGATTGATTCCTTTCTAAAGCTCAAACCTTTAAACATCAATTTTTTTTGAAAAGTATCCAATTTTTTTTTTTTTTTTTTTGCGATGTCTCCTCCGCCGGCTGCAGTAGAGATTGGGTCTCCTCCTCCTGTTGAAAAGGTCTCTTCTTTCTTCAATCCCACCTCTCCGTTTTTCCCGGAGAGTCTTCACCCTCACGATCAACCAAGCATGAACGGCTCTTCCTCTTCCTTCTTCCATTTCGGGTTTGGAGCTGGTTCAGGAGAGAAGACGAAGAGTCGGCAAAAGCCGAGGCTTGTCAAAGTGAGGAAGAACGGTAGAAAGGTTAAAGGAACCTCCTTTTCCGTCGAATCGTCTCCATCCGGTTTCAATCCATTTGCCCCGCCGCCGCCGACAAGTAAAGGTGAGTTTTTTTTGTGTTAACCTTAAAAAGATTTGATTTTTTGAATAGAGCTGATTGTGTTTGTTCTGTAGGTAGTCTCCATGTGAACAGTGTGAATGATAGAAATGATGATAAATCTTTTGTTTTTGGGGCTTATGAGAATGGTTCTGGTGCAAAAGCTACAACTCCAGTATCTGATGAGGAAGAGTTTAGCACACCTGTAGGTGACTTTGTCTCAAAAGAGGATTCAGATAATGATCTTCCGGGAAACATCAGACCGTGTAATGATGAAACTTATGTTAGTGGGAAGGGTGAGAGTGTGAACAATGGTGATGGTAAAACCAGAGATGATTTTGAAGTGAACCTGTTTGCTGAGATGAAGAAGCTTAATATCGGTGATACCAGTGTCCATGCTGGAAACGGATTTGGGGAAGCAGGTGAAGTTAATAATGCACCAGCTGCATTTATCTTTGGTAGCTCTGGGAAAGGTGATGGTGAATGTAAGGGTGGGGCAGCATCAGGGTCATGTTCATTCAGTTCGAATGGTTTTGGGCAAAGTGATAATGCAGCTGAGAGAAGATCCGCTTTTTATTCCGGTGGTACTACTAACGTAAACAACGTAACAAGCACTGCCTTTGGTGATTTCAAAGTACCGTTGTGTGATCCTTCTTTGCTTAAGAACAGTCTGTTTCCGGAAATAGGCAGGACTCCAGTACATGTGAGAAGTAAACGGTCATCCAAGGATCAGAGATCAAAGAAAGTCAAGGGGATAAAGAACCAGCATGAGCTGAATCGATGCAAGGATGAGGTTACTGAGGGTATGGAGTCTCAAGAAAAGCTCAGTTCCCCTGGATATTCTTCACCTATGGATTTCTCTCCTTATGAAGGTGAGAAATCCAGCAATCAGTTTGCTACAGAACCTCCTCTGACATCACTTGATCCTTCACATTGCGCTACCAGTGACTTTAAGGTTGCCTCAGCCAGGGATCCACCTGTCTTCACCGCAGAGGATAGTGGAAGTATTCGGACGCCGGGCTTTTCTTTCTCAGCGTCAACCTCTCAGGGAGAAATATCAAATAAAAAGATTCATAGTGTAAGGAAATATAGGAGGAAGGTTAATAATGTTTTTCCGAAAAACAATGTTCAAGCTGTGAATACAGGTCAAGTAGGCTCTACATCTGTGATGCCTAGTGAATGTGAGGTTTGGCGACTAAGGTATTATTATATTCTAATTCAAGATCTTCGACATTAATGCCTTTTGAGTACTTATGTTTCCTAGATTTGAGAGATGTAATGCTTTGTATCAGGGGAAATCAAGCCTACAAAAATGGTGATATGTGTAAAGCCGAGGAATATTACACGCATGGTATTAATTCCTCGTCGTCAAGTGATAGCTCGGAATACTCCGTAAAGCCTATTGCGCTTTGCTATGGCAACCGCGCAGCAGCAAGGATTTCTCTTGGAAGATTGAGGGAGGCTATAAGTGACTGTGACATGGCTGCTTCACTTGATCCAAGCTACATTAAAGCATATATGAGAGCTGCAAAGTAAGTTCACTGCGTACTTGTCTAAATAATTCTTTTGTTTAATTCGTATGAATCATTGTTTTTACTAAAGGCACTTAGTATCATGTAGATAAATTAGTGTATCACTTTTTTTTGCTTTAAGGTATTCCTTCTTGTTTTACAAGTGTCTTGATGTCCTTTCTCTTTACACTAGCTAAGGTCTTATATTTAATTTTCTTAAGTGACCAAGGAAGATGTCTATCCTAACAAATATGATCGTTATATGCTGTTGTATGGAATTTGATGTTTTTATATTTTCCTTTTTATGTTTGCTTTAGTTGTCATCTTGTGCTGGGGGAACTTGGATCAGCAGTGCAGTACTTTAATAAATGCATGGAATCTGCCTCTAGTGTCTGCTTGGATCGACGAACTACTATAGAATCAGCTGAAGGTTTACAACAAGCTCAAGTATGCCTTCTCTCTTAAGCTAGATCACCGCTCTACCATGGTCCAGTCAATATTATTTTGTACTATATCAGTTTATATATGATAAACTTCTTAAAATGGTTTATTTAAAAATTTGCTGTATCAGCAGCACAGAACTGAATACATTTTATTTTACTTACCGGCAGAGGGTAGCTGACCTTATGAACAGTGCATCCATGTTTTTGGAGAAGAGAACACCTGATGGCGCATCTGAAGCATTGGTTCCAATTGCCAATGCCTTGTCAGTCAGTTCATGCTCAGAGAAACTTCTTCAGATGAAGGCAGAGGCCATGTTAATGGTACGTCGTCTTTCCTTTTCAACGTTCATTAATTAAAACATTTGCATTCACTGAACAACAGCCTTTTTCAGAACCGGCGTTACAAAGAGGTGATCGAGCTCTGTGAGAATACCCTTCAGACGGCCGAGAGGAATTACGTTTCAGCAGGACCTGATGGCATGGAAAATGTGGATGGTGTAGGGTCTAAGCATCACTCACTGATAGTTTGGAGATGGAACATGATTTCGAAGTCACACTTCTACTTGGGAAACCTTGAGATGGCCCTTGATACATTAGAAAAGCTGCAGCAAGCGGGATCTAGCCGCAACGAGTAATCACTTTGTCTATCTTGTGCAGTAATGAACGTGTTTTTAGCTTTATTTGTGAATCCTTGCTGAAAATCTTTGTTTTGCTCGCTAGGAATCAGGAAGAATGCCGTGACTCACCAGCTTCTTTAGTCGCCACTATAACCGAACTTTTACGTTACAAGGTATTTTTTATAATGGAACTAAGGGATTCTTCAACATGCCTCTTTGCTGAATAAAATTGATTTTTGTTTTGCGTTGGTTACTTACCAGAGTTTTTTGCCTGTGATTTCAGAACGCTGGTAATGAAGCTGTTCGTGCAGGAAAGTATGCAGAAGCAGTAGGGCAGTATACTGCTGCACTATCAAGAAACGTTGACTCACGCCCTTTTGCAGCAATTTGTTTTTGCAATCGTGCGGCTGCTAATCAGGCCTTAGTCCAGATTCCTGATGCAATTGCCGACTGTAGTCTTGCCATGGCTCTTGATGAAAACTACACAAAGGTATATTATATAGTATTAATTTTTTTTTTTTTTTTTTACTCATGAGCATGCACACATGAAGAACCCATATGAACTTCTGTATTGTATTTTCGTTTTTAGGCAGTTTCCAGGAGAGCCACACTACATGAAATGATTAGAGATTACGATCAGGCAGCTAGTGATCTCCAGAGACTTATCAGCATTCTCGTAAAGCAAAATGGTGAGAAGACAAAAACGTCAGAGACATCTGCTGATCGTTCAGCCACCAGGAAAGAATTAAAGCAGGCTCGTCAACGGTTGTCTGTGATGGAAGAAAAATCTAAAGAGGGCATTGCTCTTGATTTCTTCCTCATCATGTATGCTCACTTATAGCTAGTCAACTATACCATTCATGTTATTGAACACCAAGCTAGAATCCATGTTCATACTATCTCTTTTCTCGTTTTTGCTAATTTGCTGCAGGGGAGTGAAGGCATCTGACTCTGCTGCTGATATCAAAAAGGCCTACAGGAAAGCAGCTCTTAGGCATCACCCAGACAAGGTATTCTATGTGTGTTTGCTTGATGACAATGGTGCAAAAACAGTTTATTAACATGTTCTGATATTCCCTTATATTCAGGCTGCAAAGATTCTTGTCAGAAGCGAAAGCGAAGGACCGTGGCTAAAGGAGATATTAGATGAGGTTCACAAGGGTGCAGATAGGCTGTTCAAAACGATTGGAGAGGCATATTCTGTTCTTTCTGACCCAACTAAGGTTTGCTTTCTCTCAGCAAGGCACTATGAACTTCCTAAGACTTTTTTTTAAACTTATATGAAACGTTACTGATGAAGTCTTGTTTTGTTACAACAGAGGTCGGACTATGAACTTGAGGAAGAAATTAGGAAAGCAAAGGCATCTAGAGAAAGCTACAGAAGCAGAAAGGCTGCAGAAGCAAGCACCACCTCGCCATATCAGACAAGTCCAGGCAGGCGATACTGGAGGCACAGCGAGAGGACATATAGAAACACGCCTTCTTGGTGGTAGAATGCTAATTTTTTTTGGTGGCACAAGCTATAATGATCTATTGGATTCCCCCCAGGTGAGATATCCCAGAGTTGATGAAGTGTAAAAGGTCTGCTACAAATCAATACAGCAACTGATTACCAGCTTTGTGTGCTGGAGTGAGAGAATTGTTTGTTCCCAATTTTGAAAAGGGAAAGTGATGTAAGACATGTAACTGAACAAATGTTTGTTTGCTTTTTACGGTTTGTACCTTTTGTAACATCCAAAAGTATCAATGAAATGAAAAACTTGATTTCGTGTGTGTCTGAGAGTCCGAAACGCTCCCAATGATTGGTTGAAGAAGTTTTGTTCATTAAAGGTTTTGATTTATTATATCATCGTAGACATAACACACCACACTGAGCAGTCACTGAACACAAAACATTACAAGTCCACTTTTGCTTTATTGATAACTAATATTTGGACAAAGGTAAAGCTGGATGATGCTTAGCAACTGGAGTGAGCTACAACTCAAGAGCTTGAGCATGGTGACTGATGTGGTCTTCGATGAAAGTGGCAATAAAGTAGTAGGAGTGGTCGTATCCTGGCTGAAGACGCACTAAGAGCGGCGCATTCACTTTCTTGCACGCTTCTTCAAACTTGCTGGGCAATAACTGATCAGGGTAGAACTGGTCGTTTTCTCCCTGCATTTGGATCGATTACTCCCTCAGTGTTAATAAGCTACAAGTGAAGAAGAAGAAGACACTATGCTTTAAGAGGATTTTTTTTTTTACCTGATCAATTAGAATTGTGGCAGAGAGATTGTTGAACTTTGAAATAAGACAAGTAGCATCGTATTCCTGAGTTTCATAATGAAAAAAAAAATCAGAATAGTGTGGCGACTATGCATACTAAAATCTTGTAAGCTTATTTTTTTATTACCTCCCAAGCAGCCTTGTTGTCACCTAGATAGTTGGTAAATGCTTTCTGTCCCCATGGGCAATTTATGGGATTGGCAATTGGTGCAAACGCAGACACAGACTGAAAACACTCACACATATAAAGAGATTAAGTTGAAATATTTTATCTAAGTCCACGATCCAAGCATTGTACTTAGTATTGTAATGCCACAGGAAAACCACAAATTTCTTAGAGCGCGGAAGAATAAAAAAAGTACACTGAGACTAATACCTTATACTTATCGAGGTTCTTGAGGTAAATAGTAAGAGCACCATGTCCACCCATGGAATGTCCAGAGATAGATGCTCTTGTTGTGTCAAGCTGAGAAAAGTTGTCACTCAGGAGTTTAGGCAACTCTTTGACAACATAGTCATACATACGCCAGTTCTTCCACTTCTCCTGAGTAGCATTCAGGTAGAATCCAGCTCCTACTCCAAAGTTCCAAACAGGAATGAAAAACAAATTTATCACTCTTCATTACAACAAGTACCTGAATTCTAAAACAAGTCCAAAGCTACAAGGCAGAGAGAGGGATGATAACGTTACATACCTACACCGAAGTCGTAACTGTCTGCTTCACCTTCAACATTAAGTCCTCCTACAATATCAAAAACCATCACAGAAAGTTAAAAAAGATAACAAAGCTTAAAGACTGTTTACAAACAAATGAAAAAAGAGTGAGGCTCACTTGGAGAAGTATCTGGAGAAACAAGAGCAATGCCGTGAGTAGAAGCAGCACGTTGAGCCCCAGACTTGATGATGAAGTTCTCGTCTGTGCAGGTTAGCCCAGAAAGCCAGTAAAGCACCTGCCCCAATCAAATCAACAAGATGATTTTTTTAACATCACAACGATAACCAAAACACGCAAAGCTTAACTCTTTAAGCTTAGATACATAAAATTCAACAAAGGGCAAACGAGATTAGTGACAAAATGAAAAAAAAATTTAAAACTTTATATAACAGGTATGATGATGATAAAAATCAAAACTTTACATACAGGGGATCTGTGGGAAGAGGAGGAGGAAGAAGGAGGGAAGTAGATGGAGAAAGTCATGGAACAGCCAAGTGTCTCACTGTAATGTTTGTATCTTTTGTTGTATCCTTCGAACATCTTCGTGCTCCCTATCTCGCTTAGTCCTGACTCCATTTTTTTCAACCACTCTTTTCTTTCTCACACAAATGCAAAATCAAGGAGCAAAGAACACAGATGCAGCGAAGTAGACGAAGATGACGACACGACCGAAGGAGTGAGGTCTGTTGCTTTCTACTACAGTGAAACAGAGCCCACTCAAATATTTTTACTTTAGCCCATTAACGGCCCATTAATTGGGTCTTCGAAGGCCCATCTTAGTAATTAAGTCAAAAGCCTCTGCATCGTCCAGAGTTTTTGGTTTCAAAAATAGAAAAAGCTTAACATGTCATACTTATACATACATGTGTGCTAGTAGTGGAGCTGACGTTTTTGTATCTGAAGGAGGATGTGCTGCCCAATTGTTCACAAAACAATGATTTATTAATGTTTTGTCTTTTATTTGTAAAGAGAAAAATGAAATATGTTGTGGAAATCAATTTGATTATAAAGTGTGTTATTTAGTTAGGTGATCAAAAATCATTTATGTATATATGTATGACAGTATCACAAGATCATGCATGGTTTTTGACCCATTTATTAAATTGTATACTAATATGGTATAAAGTATAACTAAAAAGTTCACCAAAAAGTTGATCAGATTGAGAATACAGAATTAAAAAAAAAAAAAAAAATGGATGAGATAAGGAGCGAAAGAGAAAGAAGTGCCATTAATGACTTGTGACCGAAGTTAGGCACCATCCTTAAATAATACTCATAACCTAACAAAGTCTCTTGCTCTCCTCAACTGTAACCATCAATGCTTATGTCCATTCTTCTCCCTTTGCACAAAACCTTGCTCTTGTAGTAATATTAATTTTACCCCAAAAAAAAAAACTTATTGTCATGCAAGTTTTATGATTTTTGTGAGCATATATGTATTAATATCCAAAAAAAATCTCATGAGTTTTCTGTTTTTTTATTTGGTAATTCTCTCATGAGTTGATTTGGATTTGTTTATAGTTGCCGACACGAGAGGTTTGTTCTTTGACTTGAGTTGTTTGTTTATGAACTTGCTTCTTTCTTGTTTGGGTAGATGAACAACTCAAAGACGGAGCTAACAAAGTTTTTGTATTCTACTTCTAAATACTTTTTTATTTCTTGATTTTTCTTCTCTGTAGGTCGTAGCATTACTATTTATAGGTTTTTCGGTATCTACTACATTGATCTTGTCTGGTTCTTTATTTCCTCTTTTGTTAAATGTCAGAAGAACGTGCAATACAAGAGAATTCAGTTTATGTTTGTTGAGAAAATCCGAGTTAGCGAACCAATAATATCTTATTCTTTTGGACCAAGAAGTTGATAGGTAATGACCAAGTTGGTGTTTATTGATCCAAACCCATATATAAAATCTATAGAGTATCATTTCTAGACGTTGTTCATTGCCTTGGGTTTTGTCTTTAGTTTCTTGCTGTGGAAATAAAGAAAATGGTGGGAAGCATTGAGGTCAAGAGCCTGCTAACAAACGGCTCTGTTCAACTTCAACAAAATGGTCTTAACTTGGAAGAGAAACTTGATGAGTTTCGTCGTCTTCTTGGAAAATCAGACAAAGATCCGTTAAAGATTGTAAGCATCGGAGCTGGTGCTTGGGGAAGTGTTTTTGCAGCACTTCTCCAAGAAACCTACGGAGGATTCAGAGACAAGTTTCAGATCAGGATATGGAGAAGAGCCGGTAGAGCTGTTAGTAGAGAAACCGCTGAACATCTCTTCGAAGTGATCAACTCTCGGGAAGATATCTTGAGGAGACTTATAAGACGCTGCGCTTATCTCAAATACGTAGAGGCAAGGCTTGGTGATAGGACGCTCTATGCAGATGAGATATTAAAAGACGGGTTTTGTCTTAACATGGTAGACACGCCGCTTTGTCCTCTCAAGGTTGTGACTAATCTACAAGAAGCTGTGTGGGATGCTGATATTGTTGTTAATGGATTGCCTTCAACAGAGACACGTCAAGTGTTTGAAGAGATTAGTAAGTACTGGAAAGAGAGGATCACTGTTCCTGTTATCATCTCTCTATCAAAGGGTATTGAAACTGCTCTTGCACCAGTTCCACATATCATTACTCCAACAAAGATGATCCATCAAGCAAGTAAGCTTTCTTCTTCTTGATGTTTACCCTTTGTATTGAGTCTATTAACATGAGAAATACCCTTAAAATAGCAATGTTTTAATGACAAAATTAGCACACAAGAGAAAAAAAAATTCTAAAATATAGCATTAATTAAAAGTTAGATATATATATATATATATATATATATATATATTTATTTATTTATATTTGGGTTTATTGATTAGTATTTATGGTTTAGTAGTAAGGGTTGTGGGTGGGATTAGGAATTACGAACTAGAATAATAGTGTCTTTTTGTTTAGATTCTTTCAAAAAAATGAAAAAGAAGTGTGTTTTGTTAAACTAGTGCTATATTGGGAAATTTTATTACTGGGTGCTATTTTTGGATTAAGTTTCAAAAATTGCTATTTGGAGATTTTCCCCATTGACATATCTTTGGCGTTTGTGGATAGCTGGTGTGCCAATTGAAAATGTACTGTATCTTGGTGGACCAAACATAGCTGCTGAGATATACAACAAGGAATACGCTAATGCAAGAATCTGTGGAGCTGAGAAATGGAGGAAACCACTAGCAAAGTTCTTAAGACAACCTCATTTCATTGTTTGGGACAATAGTGATCTTGTTACACATGAAGTAATGGGAGGTCTCAAGAACGTGTACGCCATTGGAGCTGGTAAGTTTCTTGCGTGTAACACAAGGATTCGAGTGATTATACCTTCACAACAGCTTTTTGATCATTATCTTCTGTGTTTTCAGGAATGGTGGCAGCGCTTACTAACGAGAGTGCTACAAGCAAATCAGTGTACTTTGCTCATTGTACATCTGAGATGATATTCATAACTCATTTACTAGCAGAAGAGCCTGAGAAACTTGCAGGGCCTTTGTTAGCTGATACTTATGTGACCTTGTTGAAAGGGCGTAACGCTTGGTATGGTCAGATGCTGGCTAAAGGGGAAATAAATAGAGACATGGGTGATAGTATAAGCGGCAAGGGAATGATTCAGGTACTCTCAGTCCTTGTAAGAAGTTTGAAAATTTTTGGTGTCTTTATCAAAGCTTATGTGAATGTTGAGTTTTGTTTTTGGATAGGGTGTTTCTGCAGTGGGAGCGTTTTATCAACTCCTTAGTCAGTCAAGCCTGAGCATATTGCATGCTGAAGAGAAGAAACCTGTAGCTCCGGTTGAATCATGTCCTATTTTGAAGACACTCTACAAGATACTCATCACAAGGTATAATAAGATTTAAGAACTTGCTTCTTAGATTCTCTAGTGAGCTCTGTTTGTTAAATTTTTTTGTCTGAATTTTGCAGAGAACAATCAACACAAGCGATTCTGCAAGCGTTAAGGGATGAAACACTGAATGATCCTAGAGACCGGATTGAGATTGCACAGAGTCATGCATTCTACAGGCCTTCCCTTCTAGATCAGCCTTGAAGATTCTTCAGTCATCATTACTCATATTGCAGATTCTGCTGCGTGAAAACGTCATGTCATAAAATAGTTTGTTATTCTTTGTATAATCCTTGTACTGTTGTATCCTTCTCATTATTATCAGTGAGGCTTTTATTTGGTCAAATAATTTACCAATTCTTAGAAGCCAAGCAATCTATGAAATATTCAATGTTATCAAAAGACCTCTTTTAAAATTTTATTATTCTTTAAAACTTCTTAACGCATTTCAAGAACCTTTAACAAAAAGACTCCAAAAAAGAATTGTATAAAAAAACCAAAAGCCTCTCTGCTCGAGAGAACAACTGTTTTGTATCCTCGTCAATACAGATATATAATAATATAAGAGTTTCTATTGCATAGGAAGAAGAAGAAGAAGAATAAATAAATCATTTTAAGGACTTGAGAGGTTCTTAAGATCCTCTTCCTTTGCATACCAACTTGGTGCTATCTTTTGAAGATGAGGATACAAGTCTTTGTATGAGTTTCTTATTGTCCCTTCTGCTACTCCTGTCGCTATCGCTATATCTGCACCAAACCCCAAATTATTATTCAGCCTGAGATTAGCTTATAAACTAACTACTCTTGGCTTGAATAAATGTGTGAACAAACAAACCTTTGAGAGGCTTCTTGTCATCAGAAAGCTGGGTTATGATATAGATAACTACTGCTGCTATTGATATTGGACTCCTCCTGCAATATGCCATATCAAACATCTGTAAAAGGTTCTTCTATAAGTTACCGAAACTGCGAAATAAAATTAAGTTACCTAATGTCAAATTCCTCAGATTTTTTCACAGCTTCCTCGGCAGCTCTAACCGCTTGATGAGACATTCCAAGGTTAGAGCAGAACCTTTTCTGTAATATCCACCAACAAGACAGCAAATGTCAAGTACAAGCCAACAACAACAACAAAACTAACAGTACCGATACCAAATTTAAGGTACTTGTAAGAGAAGTGCAAAACTCACCATGAAATCACCAGCGTGTATAGCGCCCATTTCAACAGAGTGACCAGTCTCCAGCCCCAATGTCTTAACTATGTAGTCTTTTGCTCTTCCCATTTCCTTCTTTGTTGCTCCATTGGCAACAGAGCAGATTTCTATTCACAAGGCGAATTTGATTGACTTTATGATGGCAAAGCTTTAAAATCAGTCTCTCTCAAATGAGAAATCTATCAAACTGTACCCTTAATAGTTCGTGGCTTGTCCTCTTGTCTACAGGAAATGTACAAGCAAGCTGCCAAAAGTGCATCCTGGTTTCTTCCCCTGGTTGACTTTTGATCCTCCAGCCTCTTGAATATCTCATTAGCCCGATCCTACACATCACCAACAACAAACAAAAAACCACCAAACCCGTAAATTATTGGCTCCAATAGCACATACTCAACCAACGGCATTAGCTGTCTATCAACCAGATAAACAGAGAGAGACGAGAAAGGTTACCTTAATAGTTCCAACAAGCCCCAACCTGCAGAAAAAAAAATCAATCAAACAAGTAAGGACTCTCACACATAATCACAAATGAACACACACAGCAAGACATGAATATACCAACATAAACAAACACTCAACAGCAACATTCATCGCCAAAAACAAAACTTCCAATGCCCATTAAAAAAGAAACCTCTTTTTGTTATTTTAATTGACAATGTGATCTCTCAAACGAGTAAACACTGGCAACATAAACAAACACTCAACACCAACATATATAACCAAGGACAAAACTTTCAATGCACATAAAAATAAAATAAGGAACATCCTTTCGTTATTTTAATTGACAATGTGATCTCTCAAACGAGCAAACTCTAGCAACATAAACAAACACTCAACACCAACAACAGCAACATCCATCACCAAAAAAAAAACAAAACTCCCAATACACATTACAAAAAAAAAAACCTCCTTTTTATTATATTAATTGACAATGTAATCTCTCAAACGAGTAAATACTAGCAATTATAAACAAACACTCAACACCAACAACAAAGAACAAAACTTTCAATACCCATTAAAAAAAAAAAAGAAACCTCCTTTCGTCATGTTAATTAACAATGTAACCATACACTTTCAAAAAACCCATCAATCAAAAACAAAACCACACAAAAATCAACAACCCGATCCAATCTCAATACAAAACAACCCCAAAACCAAATTAAAAAAACAAAAAAAAAACCAAACTACCTGTCAGACATGGTAGCAATGGTCTTAAAAGCCTGCATCAACCCACGCTCCGGATTACCGTTACGATTCTGCCACCTCCCTAGCGAATTCGACAAAAAATCCCCCGACGAACCGTTCGTCTTCGCGATAACAGTCGTTAGCGCACTATCCGCTAACAGAGGGTTCGTCGGACCACCGACACGGTTCGGATCAGCGTTTGAAGACTCGTTCGCGAAGGTACGCCACTCTGACGTCTCATCAATGGAGTGCGACTCCAAAACCAAACCGCACTCGGAGCAGAGGGTGTCTCCGGCGGAGTGATCCACCACCAGCTCCGTCTCCTTCTTGCAATCCGTACAATACGCGTCAGACATGATCGCCGAGAAAACCCTAATTTGATCTTAAACCGGGTGGAGATTGGTCCGGTTTGGATTAACCGGATTCCGGTAGAGACAAATTAGGTGACAGAGGGAGAGAGGGGACAGAAAGAGGATTGTGGAGGAGAGTAACATTCGTAGGTTTTGTTTCGGTTTTTATAGACGGGAGGAGGGTGTAGAGGAATATTTTTGGGGTGTACTGTAATGAGGAGATCTTGATCGTTGGTTTTAGTGGGACCGGTTGATCGTTAATCTGACGGTTGTTAATTTATCTCCAGCGATTTGACGTTTGTTTTTTTATTTCCTTTTTGTGGGTTTGCTTGTCCGTTTTAGAAGGACGGAGGAAAAAGGAAAGAGATAAGTGACTTGTTTGGGAAGTCATACTACATACCGGTCGCATGTGTTGGGTTTAGTTAGAAGATTTTCTTTTTTTGTGTGAAATAGTTAGAAGATTTTATTATAATTGTTTGGATGCATGGGTAGCAATAAACTTGTAGAGTGTATTGGATAATAGGTACAGAGATATACGATGTATTATCTTATTATCAGGGTCGGTTCTTGAAAAGAACTTAATAAAATATTAGCTTTGACTTTCAAAATTTAATTTTATACTTCTCAAAAAGTAAAAAATAAATTATAAAGATTTTGTTTAAATATTATGGCCGTTAAAAACTGGTCATGAAACGATCAGGTCTAAATATAGTAAATATAATTAATTGCATTTGAAAACCAAATATTATACATGATGATTCTAAAATCAGATAATCAATACATGTTTTTTTGATGAAAAATTAATCAAACATGTTAATCATTTAAACTTATAAGTTCCAATGTTTGCAGAACCGGCCGTGCTAGTGGTGCAATTGAACTTGGCTCAATACACATTCAAAATACAGAAACCGAATAAATAGTTGGTGGGGAAAAGCTATTCCTGAAATAGCTAAGCATTAAAACGTGAGACAGGTTGATATTTCGCTTTGAAGTTGACATGCCACCCCTTTTTATACGTGTCCTCACTAGATTTATTACTATGATAATATGAATGAATTCAATGTCTCTAGATTTTTTACCATATTATACGGATTCGCAATTACTTTGAAAAAACAAAGAATCTATAATAAGGCTCAAGATAAGTTTCATTTATGACCAGTATTTAATATATTATACTACTATATAAATCACGTTAACGTGAGACAGATTGATTTTTTTTTTTTTATCTTGTTTTATTTGTTCTATTTTATTTGCTTACACGTAAACAATGTGATTCAGATTCTAGTTCTGTTAGTTGTAAATATGTGCCGTGCGAGTTATATAAGATACATATAACTATATAAATCAATTTGAGCGCTGCATCAGTGACCAACAACAACAAAAACAATTGGTATATATTTGTATTGTATCTCTATTATATATATGCTGATTTTCATCTACCAAAAAATGAAACATTCGGACAGATGAAGAGGCAAATGAAGCATTTGCTTCAAGCTACAACAAGCTGTTCTATATTATAGGGCCACATGTTGGAAAATATGTGTGTGGTTACATATGTTATCTTACACCATAAGCTCTCTTTAGATTCAGCCTTTCTACAACTTATTTTAGTTGTATTTGCTTTCGACGTGTAACATAGATTGTGTTACTTAGCAGTGCTATATCATTTTTAAAAAAATGTAGAATTCCTTGCAGCTCATTTCAACTGTTTAGAAGGCCACCTTTTGTGTGCTTAAAGCCGCTTAAATTATAGGTCGGCACTATATTCAGGCATATTCTTAGAAAGCTGGTTGTTATGTAAATACTACTGCTACTATAGATATAGGACTCATGCAATGTGCCATATAAAAGCATTTGTAAAAGGTTCGGTTGTATCTATCTAAACTGCGAATTTCTTAAGTAAAATTCCTTGGAGTTTGTCAACTTTTCTTAACTTTCAGCTTAAGATCAATTATCAATAAGTAAGTTGGTTAAATTAGTTAATTATTTCTCTAAACTATCAACTTTCATTTACTTATTAACAGATTTTTTCACAGCTTCATCAGCAGCTCTAACCGCTTGATGAGACATTCTAAAGTTAGAGCAGAACATTTTCTGCAATATCAAGTAACCATGAAATCACCAGCGTCTATAGTGCCCATTTCCACATAGTGGCCAGTCTGAGCCCCAACAGTGGAGGATTGGATGATTCCATCTAGAACAAGTTTTCACAAATGACGCACAAATCAATTTCAAAAAAAAAAAAAAGTTTTCACAAATGAAAAGAAGATGAGTAAAACTTTTTTTTTTTTTTTGCTAAATCATCAATGGCTAAGGCCTTGTGCCAATTGTTAAGGCCATTGGAAATTTACAATTAAAATAATTTTTAAAGTTTACAATAATGTTCCAAACACAAAAAAAGATACATTTATATGTTACGTGGCCTAATCATCTATAGGCTATATGTCGGCTAATATTGTAGTTTGCGGTTTAGACTTGGGCGTTAATCTACAATCCAAACATGAAACACCACATAACATAAATATTTAAAACATTGGATACTCTCTTCTCTGTACATAAAAACAATTTGTATCAGACAACATACATAAACTACTTAAAATGGAACAGAAGAACCTAACGATCTATGGTGTATGTTTTTGGAAATCATTGGAACTTGAAGGGATGAGATGTCGCGCGTTATAATAGCCTTACAAAATAATATTATCGCTGCATTTTTCAAAGAGATACAACTCATTGCCTTTTGTAAAGTAGCGCATATTAAGCGAATTTAATCATCAAAAGCAGATGTTCGGCGTCATGCACATGCCACACATGGTTAACAAGAATCTAGTTGAACCTTTACACTTCACGCCGTTTTAGACCCACTGCATCAAACACTATGCCGTTCCTTTTCTTCTGAATAACTCTTACGTAACTTCGATTCCAGTTCTAAACGAATAAGTCAACCCATTACCTTTCCTTTTCACCATTATACACGGTTAGTCTTAGAGATAATTTCAATAACATTTTTTAGAGTTGCAAGAAAAAAATTAAAAATAAAACGAGTGTACGATGTAATAAACATAAAATGGAATAAAATTAATGAAAAGGCGTAGCTACTTGACTTTGACCAAACTCTTGACAGCCGTCTTCTCTTGTTGTTTCCGTGTTCTTACCCAAAACCAGAGGAAAGTCCACTAAACACCACATATTATTAAAAAAATCATAATAATAAAAATTATTATTATAAATCCAGTTGATGTTTTTAATATAGTTTCACTCGTTAATATACTTGTATGTATATAAGCGTGTGTATCAAAAAGTCTTTAAATCATCTCAAGACACCCATTTCTCTTATCCTTCCTTCTCAAGAAAAGTTTTCTCTATAATTGCCTGAAAACGTCACCTAAAGTTGATCAAAACCCTTCATCAAATATCAAAACTTTGCTTCTGAGTTTTGCTTTGTTCATAAGATGGTGCAGTATCATAGATTAATCATCCACCATGGAAGAAAAGAAGAGAGGTTTAGAGTTTCTGTAGAGGAAGTTGGTAGCTTGAAGAAAGCTAAACAAAAGTTTTTCTCTTTTCTCTTCCTCACTATCCTCTCTTGCTGTTTCATCATGTCTCCTTATCTCTTTGGCTTCTCTACGCTCTCTCTCTTAGGTATATGATCATCATCATCTCTCTCTTTCACAGAATCTTTATCTTTTGTTTTTTTTCTGATTGCTTATCGATCTCTCTGTTTTTCTTCTTCTTGTGCAGATTCTTTTAGCAGAGAAAACGAAGCTCTTAGCTCTTATGAGCCAGCCCTTGCCCCTCTCTGCTCAGAAGTCTCCAATGGTTAGTACCCTAATCCCCTTTTCAGACAGAAGTCTAATCTCTTTGTCTTAAATTAAAAACCCATTTTGTGTTGTTATTTGTTAATACTCTTAGTAATATAAGTAGTTTAGGCAAAAGCAAATATTAAAAATATATGATTTAATATATAGATTAAATATAATTAAACCAATCATAAACAAATTTATATAATTTAATTGATCAACTATACTCAAGAAATGTAAAAATTATCTACTAATGTGAAAACTATTTATATTTAGAAATAAATAAATAAAAAATCACTAAAATTATTTATAATACAAAACAGAGGGACTAACTTTTATGGATTCTTCAACTCTATTGTGTAGGAACCATTTGTTGTGACAGAACCGGTTTGAGATCAGACATCTGTGTAATGAAAGGCGATATTCGTACAGACTCTACTTCTTCATCACTCTTCCTCTTCACCTCCACCAATAACAACACAAACCCTCAAAAGATCAAACCCTACACAAGAAAATGGGAGACTAGCGTGATGGACACGGTTCAAGAACTCAACCTAATCACCAAACATTCAAACAAATCTTCAGAACGTGTCTGCGATGTCTACCACGATGTCCCTGCTGTGTTCTTCTCCACGGGAGGATACACAGGAAACGTGTATCACGAGTTTAACGACGGTATCATCCCTTTGTTTATAACTTCACAGCATTACAACAAGAAAGTTGTGTTTGTGATCGTTGAGTATCATGACTGGTGGGAGATGAAGTACGGAGATATCGTCTCGCAGCTCACGGATTATCCTTTAGTTGACTTCAATGGAGATTCAAGAACGCATTGTTTCAAGGAAGTAACGGTTGGATTACGTATACACGACGAGTTAACAGTGAACTCTACGCTGATGAGTCATGATAACAAAACCATTGTTGACTTCAGAAACGTTTTGGACCGAGGTTACACGCATCGTATCCAAAGCTTGGCTCAAGAGGAAACAGAAACAACACTAGACTTGAAGAAGCCGAAGCTGGTGATATTGTCAAGAAACGGGTCAAGAGCGATACTAAACGAGGACCTTCTTGTGAAGCTAGCGGAAGAGACAGGGTTCAGTGTCGAGGTTCTAAGACCGAACAAAAGAACAGAGATGGCTAAGATCTATCGTTCGATGAACACAAGCGATGTAATGATCGGTGTGCATGGAGCTGCAATGACTCATTTCTTGTTCTTGAAACCTAAAACTGTTTTCATTCAGATAGTTCCGTTAGGGACTGATTGGGCGGCTGAGACATACTATGGTGAGCCAGCAAAGAAGTTAGGGTTGAAGTATATTGGTTACAAGATTATGCCGCAAGAAAGCTCTTTATACGATGAGTATGGTAGAGATGATCCTGTCATCAGAGATCCAGATAGTCTCAATGATAAAGGATGGGAATATACAAAGAAGATTTATCTTCAAGGACAGAACGTGAAGCTTGACTTGAGAAGATTTAGAGAAACGTTAGCTCGTTCTTATGATTTCTCTATTAGGAGGAGATTTAGAGAGGAAGTTCCTAATTTATTTGTTTCATAGATAAGAGTAAGGAGAAAGTATACCATTCTTTTGTAAAGTTTTTTTTTTAAAGAAACATTTAATTCAAATTCTTTTAAGTATTTGGTGTATATGACATAATTAATATTCACTCATCAGCATATAGTTTTACTTCATCCTAGCAAGTAAACAAAATATGAAAATGATATAAAGCCTATAAGGCTTATCTTATATTTTATTTGCAAAAACAGGTAAAAATGTTCACCACTTACCACGAGCTAGTACTCCTTCTCGAGTGTACTTGATTGACACTTACCCTTCTGCAGTTGAAAACACACAAATAGTTTAGAGAAGGACTGTAAAAATTTATCTTCTTTGACTACTTATAGGTTTTCTTGACGATCACGTCATTAACTGAGGTGACCAAATTTATCCTTTAAAACCAAAAAGATTTCAGTTGAATCTAGGCGTCAACCATATATATATATTACAATACTCTACAAATTATTCTCCTGCACCAATAAAAAATGATTCAAATTCACAGTTTCACACACACATAATCAATATCCTTATGAATCTTGAGAAATATACATAATGAAACGAGGGAGAAGAAGAGAAAAAAAGCAAACAGAGGAAGATACGAGTTTATCAAAAATTATATAGATGATCATGAACCGATTTCATAAGTGGTCGTCGGTATATATGCAAAGAGGAGAAGTTGAAGAGGGATTGCGATTTAAATAGGGCACTAATGGCTCTGTTTGGTGGATGAATGTGTGCTTTAAAACATCTGCCGGTTGGCCAAGAAGTAGAAAGTTGAAAAATAGTCTGGGCTGTTTAAATGTTAATAAAATAATCAATTGGGTTGTAAAATTAGTGAATATAGGCCTATGGCAATAAAAATAATGGAATATTTAATTTATTTTACTTAAATGCAATTGTTGGATTGTTTTTTATGAGGTGGATAGGTTAGAAAGGCATGAATAAGGGCTTTTATTATAGTTTTGATTTGGTCACCAGTATATTACAGCATGAATCATGATACAAATATAACCATGCTCAAAGATTATATTAATACCCATTTACAATTCTTCTTTTTATATAATCGGATTAAACTAGAACTTTTAGCTTTAGGATGGTTATGGTGATAATTTTATTAATTTTTTATAATGAAAGCATGGTTCCATGCCTATTTACGGATACATTGGGGCTCTCTAAGATGATTTTACCATGTTCTTTTTTCTTTCATGCTTCTTTAAAATCTCATCTGAATTATATCAAAAACTTGTCATTCTTCTATACATAGCATTAGCTTATACCCGTTACCTAAATGGCCTCCATCTACTATCCTTCTTTAATTTTCATCGACATTTAAATAGCAAATTTTAAAAAGTATATACACATTAATTTAATCAGGAAAAGTATCCATAGTCTGCATGGACAGTAACATTTTTGCACAAACTTATGACATATGTTGTCTTTGCTGTGTAAGTTCTCATACTATTATAAATAAATGATGTCATGAATTAACATGAAGCCAAACAAACGTTCAAGATGTCCAGTTGCGCTGTCACTTGTGGCTATATGATATGAATGCCAACAAATTAGACTTCAGAGGAAACAAAATAGAGTGTCAACTTTAAGATAGACAATTCCATAATAGAAAAAAAATTCATCGTTGGAATCCTAATGGACGGTTATGATTAACGGATGGAGGTGAGACTTTGATGATAGTGACAGGTGAAATGATATCTCGGTGTGAAAACTTGTACATAAACATATTTACAAACATATCTTTTTATTATAAAAAAATAGCAAGGATAGAATCAAGAAAAAAAAGATGTGGACACTCTAATCCCACTAGACTACAGACAATATTTGAATATTGCGGCCGAAAAATATTTAAAACCAACAGTCGCAAGCGTTCCCTTCTTTCATATCCGTCAAAAACTGGCACTGATCATGCCCAAGGGAAAAACTATAAGCTGGATATACGCTTATTATTCAAACCTTCAAGAGGGTATATTTATTATTCATATAAAATAAGTTACACGAGTGATAGTTTTAACAACAACAAAATTAGATTAATAGTGTAATAAGCTATGTTTGATTGTTTTCTGACAACTTCAAACCCAATTAAAAATATACAATATATAATTATTGCCGGCCTTTCAAATCTTAGGCAATAACTAAAGTAATCAGACATATATACTTTACTAAAAAAAATCATGTAAAATATGTATAAATACAGATTCATAGAACACTCATAATCAGTTTGGTCGGCTCAAAAAACATATCTCCAAAGTTCAATATCGATCGAGACAACATCTTACAAAAAATGGTTCAGCACCAAGAAGTCGCTCTTCAAAGAAGCTTCAGCTACAACACAACAAGAAAGATCAGTCCAGAGACCTCTCCGGCGCGTAAGTTACACTCCCGCTCTTATTCCTCCAGCTGCTCCTCCTCCATCCCACCCATCCCTGAGAATGAACTCTTCCTGGTACCTTTCCACAGATTCACCTCTGCCTCTAAACACATCGTGAAAGCCGACTTGAGGCTATCTTTCTTCGCACGTGCTATCATCCACCTCGTTAACCTTCCACCACCCTCTTCCTCCTCCGCCAGTAACCAGCTGATCACCGGTAAATCCTCTTCCCTTGGGAGAAGAGTCACGGGAACTTTGTACGGACACAGAAGAGGCCACGTCACGTTTTCATTCCAGGACGGTCCGAGAACGGACCCAGCGTTTCTCTTAGACCTTCCCATGTCAACGGAAACTCTAGGCAAAGAGATGTCGTCAGGGCTCGTAAGGATCGCGTTGGAGTGCGAGAAACGTCACCGTTCGGGGAAGAAGCTTTTCCACGAGCCTAAATGGACCATGTTTTGTAACGGCAGGAAGTACGGTTCCGCGGTGTCGCGTAGCGGGGAGTGTAACGAGTTGGATAGGCGCGTGCTGAATACGGTGTCGAGTGTGACGGTTGGAGCTGGAGTTATTCCGACGGTGAGTGACGTGGCTGGTGGTGGAAAGGAGCTTGGGGAGTTGATGTATATGAGATGTACGTTTGAACGTGTCGTGGGGAATCGTGACTCGGAGGCGTTTTATATGATGAACCCTGACGAAAACGAAGGTCCTGAACTCAGTATTTTTCTTCTTAGAACATGAAGAAAATGTCAAATGTTTACAAACAAAAAAAAAAACAGAAGATTTTTTTTTGTTTTAAGAGAGAGTTGCTTGGCTTTTAAAAAATTTGAAAATGTCTTAGTTATTATTTTATAATTGTAATGTTATTATTATATAGGTTATTTTCTAATCTTCTGCTTATCAGATGTTGCGGTGTTTTTCTTGTTGTTGTTGTTTTTACAGCAATGTTCTGCATGTTGGTTTTTGTAAAATTGAAGAAGTGAATGATGTGTTTAAGCAAAAATAATAATAATGAAGGATGTGATTATTAGTATTTGTTGCTTCAGGTGGATTTTTTTTTAAATTATGATTAGGGAGGGAGACGTTTCTTGTTGTATGTCTCAAAGTTTTAACGCTATTTTAGGTTTCATGTATGTGTTTTGGTGGATTTAGCCCTGCTAATCTGATACTATAACAAAGAGATGAGTGCAGACTTTATTGACCTGCTAATCTAATCTGTATGTGTTTTCACTTTCCGTTATAACTAGTTCAATCTACCATGAAGCCAAATCTTTAGATGTTCCTACACTGTTCTTCTCTCCACAGGTAGATAAACGCGAAAATGTTTGAGACGGTCTTGTGTGATAGTAGAGTATCATGATTGCTGGGAGATGAAATAAGGAGATAATCTTTCACTACTACACATTGTTTCAAGGATGCAACTGTTTGACTGCGTATTCTAGACCAATTAAAAAGTGGTGAAGGGATTCAAACCATGTCATGAGTATGCAATTAGGATAAATATTAATGAGCAAGCTAGCACGTTGTTGTCCTCTGGTTCTCCTGTTAATTTTAGTCAAATATTTGGAGGATAAAAAGCAAAATTGATACATGGGCCACAATTTCTTTTACGTTAGTCCTAATAAGCTGGGCCATTGTATAGATTAAAGGCTTCTTTGGCTCAGCGAGGGATCCATCCACAGACCGAAAACAAACATGTTGTATAGTCGGAGAATGTTGACTCCTAAGTAAATAAAAAAACTTTTTTTTTTTGTAAAATTTATAAAAGATGATAAATGTAGGTATAAGTAGGTTGAGAATCCTCCAAATTTTAAATTCATACATTATATTATCTTGTATGTTATTCGATCGTGAATGAAATATGTTTAAGTGCTTACAATTGAAGTAGAATTATAGAAAGGGGTCAAATGACTCAAATCAAAGAAACATGTGTCCGATGATTAGCGGATTGTTATTGTTATATAGTTAATTAGGTCACCAAATATATTACATCACGAGAACAAAGAACCATATCTCGTGTTTGGAACCGCCCAAATATCATATTAATCCCTCTTTACAATTCACTATTTTATATAAGATTCAACTTTATTCCTTTTAGCTTAAGATGGTTATGGTGATAATTTTATTAATTGACTTTTAAAATGAACTCAAGGTTACGTGCTTCTTTATGGCTACATTGTAGCCTCACACTTGTACACATATATAATGTAAACAAAGAAGCATACGTATATATCATTTTAAAAGTTTTTGTTTTGCTATTTTTTCTTTATAAGAATTGTTGTGTCTCTCTAAAACAAAGAAACCGTAGATATTAATCTAGTAGGCGTAGCCATGTCACTGCATACGACCAGGACAATATGTGAAGGGATCCGTTTAAAGCAAAACAAATGTTCAACGACTCCACCTGCGTTGTCGTCCCTTGTCACTATCTGATATGAATGTCAAAATATAAAAATTGTGAGGAAACAAGAGATAGTTTCAACTTAAAGACAAACTTCCACAATAAAATGAAAACTAAAAACTTTTATTAGCCTGGTCCACGTGGATCCACCCTAACGGACGGTTAGGATTAACAGTTGGAGGTAGGACTTTGATGATGCTGAAATGAAATCTCTGTATGTAATTTAGTAGAAACTTATATTGTTATTATATAAAGCAAAGTAGCAAACTACAAAGTCGTAGTTGAATTAATCATACGTAAATGGAAAAGTATATACTGGTATATACAGCTAAATTGTTTTAATCTCCAAGTGTGTATATCAATATCAATATAAAATAGGTCTATACGCATTGCTAAAAACAAGCATAATAGATTAACAGTGTAATAATGATATCTTGTTAACCCAGCTCTATATGTTTTATGATAACTTCAAACCCAATAAAAATATTAAATATATAGCTTTATTGGTGGCCTTTCAAATGATAGGCCATAAATAACATAATCACATACATCTATGCTTTATTAAAAAAAAATCAAGTAAAATGTGTATAAATACACATACAAAACGGCCACACCTCTTCGAACACTCATAATCACATTGGTCGGCCGTTTCTTTTCCTTTCTCCTCCTTCCACAATCATACCCTCAAATATATAAAACATCTTTTCTTCTCTTCAAAACAAAGCAACATCTTCACTGGTTCCCATTATCACAAAACAATGTTGCAGTACCAAGAACTCGCTCTTCAGAGAAGCTTCAGCTGCAACACAAGAAAGATCAATCCAGAGACCTCCCCGGCGCGTAGCTTCCACTCCCGCTCTCCTTCCTCCTCCTCCTTGATCCAAACCATCCCTGAGCATGACCTCTTCCTCGTACCTTGTCATAGATGCTCCACCTCCTCCACAACTTCTTCTTCTTCCTCCTTCTTGAAAGTCAACTTGAAGCTTTCTTCCTTCTTACGTTCCATCATCAACCTCGTTAACCTCCCCGTTTGCAACTTCATCTCTCTTCCTTCTCCTCCCTCTTCTTCCAACCAACTGATCTCACTCGTCACGGGCAAATCCTCTTCCCTCGGGAGAAGAGTCACGGGAACATTGTACGGTCACAGAAGAGGACACGTCACGTTTTCAGTCCAGTACGGTCCGAGAACAGACCCAGTGTTGCTCTTAGACCTAGCCATGTCAACGGCATCTCTAGTCAAGGAGATGTCGTCAGGGCTCGTAAGGATCGCGTTGGAGTGCGAGAAACGTCACCGTTCGGGGACTAAGCTTTTCCACGAGCCTAAGTGGACTATGTATTGTAACGGGAGGAAGTGCGGCTACGCGGTGTCGCGTGACGGCGCGTGTAATGAGTCAGATTGGCGCGTTTTGAACACGGTGTCGAGTGTGACGGTTGGAGCGGGTGTTATTCCGACGGTGAAGAGTATTGATGACGTGGCTGGTGGTGGGAAGGAGCTTGGGGAGTTGTTGTATATGAGAGGTAGGTTTGAACGAGTCGTGGGGAGTCGTGACTCGGAGGCGTTTTATATGATGAATCCTGACAAAAACGGAGGTCCTGAACTCAGTATTTTTCTTCTTAGAATATGAATATGAGAGAGTTATTTGACTTTTTTAAAATATTTGAAAATGTCTTAATTAACGTGTTATTATTATTATATAGTGAATGATTGCAATGTTGTGTCATGAAATATATATGTAAACGATAGTGAGAGCCTAGCTAGGAGGTATGCTAGGTTTTTTATTTCATGTTCTTGTGGTGTTTTTGTTGTTGTTTTTCTACAGCAATTTTTTTTTTTGTATTTTGGTTTTTGTTAAAAGAGAAGAAATGAAAGATGTGATAATTAGTACAGTATGTGGTTGCTTTATATGCAAGGCATGAAGACCCCCCACATGGTCCGACATGATTCATGCCAAAATCAAGATTCTTGTTGTCTTTATTACAAACTATTTTTAAAAATTTGAGCAAGAAGGTGAGTTCGCTTTTTACGTGTAACGAAACGATGCGATCAATTTAGTTTAAGACTAAACAATAGAAAGGGTTTGCTTTTGCGTTGTAACGAGTAACAGTCAATTTGTAACCAAACACCTTTTATATTTTGATTCAAGATATAGCATATACGGCACCATTAAGTGAACGAGTACTTATAGTATTAGGTATAAATAAAATAAACTACACGTAGTGAAGTTTCATTTTAATTTCTCATGGATATGTATACAAGTGAAATAAAAACTTTAAATGAATAAGTTTTTAATCAGTTGGTTTACTTAAAGAAGTTGTAACTATATCATATTTTTAGTATTGAGATTCCAAATGAGTATATATGATTTGAATGTAAATATGATCTGAATGATAATATGAATATTGATTGAAACTAGTTAAACTTGGCTTGAGATAAGTTTAAAAATAGGAGGATAAATATAAAGAAGTGGAAAATAGAGGGGTGGATTTCTTAAAAATAGGTTGGTGGGTTTGGCTTGTGGACTAAACACATCAACAGCAGCAAAGCCAAAAGTCACCTTTTAAAAAATGTTCATTCATTTAAATTTAGGACCACATTAATACATATAGAACTCTGCATGCGTACCCATAATATATAATATGAAATACATAAATATATAAGTTATTGACTATATTTACAAGTACATATGGTCCGATACGTATATGCGTCATAGCTAATCCTAAATAAATTAGATCATATAGAAATATAGATGTAGAGGATACAATAACGATTTTCCAATTATAAAAGAGAAGCAATTCCAAAATTGTGAAGTAAATGCATGATACTACTGATAGCTTCCGAGTAAACCACAAAAACTCAAACATCATCCAAACATATTTTGATATTAAATTTTATATTCAATATATATATATATATATATATATATATATATTTATACTAGAAAAACATGTGCTAACTTTATTGAATAATAGTAGTTCAATTTCAGACCATCATCTTCAGTTTCCAATTATAATAGTCATCTTTGCTTATCCATGGTCCTATTCGAAAATATCTTGCCACAATCAAGCTTGTCGTTATGCTAGATTTAACTACTCTTTTTTTTTTTTGTGCACAAAAACTACTCATTTACTTATTTTTCGGTAATATCTTATACCGGTTAGTATGCTACAACGCAGTATGATACTTACATGAAAAATATGCATTGTATAATATAGTGGAGCAAAACACTTTTTGGTTGGCAAATCTGAGTTCTCCTGCTGGGCATATGTATACATTAATTTGCTGGGTATATGTATACATTAATTAGTGTTTATAACATAAAAATAAACAGATGGAAAACTTTCTGTTTATACTATATTTAATACTAATAATTGTCAGTAATATATGTGGATTTTTTTTCTATAAAAGAGTCAGTATAATCTAATGTTATATTGTGGATCCGTTAAAAGAAAAAAAAATACCTTGAACTAACTTAGCTCAAACATGAGATGGTAAATCATGATTTTGGACTTATGTTAAACTAATAATCTTTAAGCCAAAAAATGATTTGGGTTGAACTAATATTACTATATCCTTAAACTGATCTAGCTTTCATTTTTAATTTATAAAAGTAAGGACAACCTCATAAGGTGCCTTAAGAGTCAAGTCCAACCATATACATGAATAGATCGTTGAATGAATCTTAGTAGTAACATGCATTTGGTCATATAGATCAATCATCACTCAACACACCCTCCTTATTCTATATTATCTAATAATATCTTTTATATCATATAAATTTTACGATTCTATTTTGCAATCTTCTTAATATTACCAGCCAAATTAAGTAAAATTCTTCCCATCTTATTTGTTAAGTTGTTCTATATTATTTTCTTGGTAAAATTTATCATTATATAAATTTCAGCTTTCATTCCTATAATGACATTCACTTATATAGCGAAATAAAAAGTGCAAATAAATTAACATCTATTTACTAATTTATATGTCATATTATATAGGTAACTGAAGGTTAGAATAAACCAAACAAGCAGATCTCGAAATCATAACGCTACCGAACAAAATGATACTTTCTCTTTACATAATTGATCAACATCCTCTCTATCATTGGTGTTACATAATATTGTATATTCATATAAATACATGTCCACGTATTTGTGCACAGTTTACTTATAGTATTATAAGGAAAATAATATTATCCTTAATTAGGCTCTGAGTCAAATGGATACGTAAAAGATATTTCTATGCATGAGATATTTTCATGAGATATTTTTGTGTAATATATCCAGCTCGAGAATAAAAATCTTGTTGGATCTTGGACCGATCGACGAAAACCGTGATTTTTTTCACCTTAATAATACAGTACCTACCTAACAAATGTAATAATGTCCACAAATAATCAATGTGTTTCTGAAAGTACTCATCCAACCAAGATGCAATATGATGACAATTATGTTAGTTAAAATTAAACATGTGTGTTAACTGTTAAGCTTAGCAAAATGAATATCTTCAAAGCTGTAGTACAGTTATCTGATCATTACTCAATTACATGGTAATATCACATTATTCACATAAGGATTAGCTGCCATGGGCTTGTTAAAGGTTCTTACATTTTCCTTATGATAAGTTATAGTGAAGAGAGTGAACTCATATATAGTCTTCTACTTCAGTTGATCTAGCTTACCAAATTTATTTCATTGCACGGAAAACCATATATCATAGATATATTGAATCTTCATGACATATGTGGGTCGTAAAGATTTAACATTCAAACTCACACAGAAAACGAATAAGCCCAAAGATAAATAAATAAAGCCCATAATAGGCCCATATTCAATAATCACGGCTAAAAACCTCTGAAAACCCCTCTCTCACTGAAAGCTATCATCGCCGGAGAAAATGGTGACGGGCGTGAAGAAGGTAGTGAAGAAGGGACTGATCGGCGGGATGAGCTTCGCTAAAGAAGCCGGGGCAATCAATTGGTTCCCCGGTCACATGGCCGCCGCAACTCGCGCCATCCGTAACCGCCTCAAGCTCTCCGATCTCGTCATCGAAGTTCGCGATGCCCGTGTACGTTCACTCACACACACTCAACAACCGTCCCTTCATTTCGAATTCCATATAATCATAATAAGGTTGTTAATACTGTAGATTCCATTGTCATCGGCGAACGAGGATCTGCAGCCACAGTTGTCAGCGAAGAGACGTATCATAGCTCTCAATAAGAAAGATTTAGCAAACCCTAATGTTCTCAATGTGCGTGTTTCTGTGTTCCCCATTGTGTTGGTGAGAGTTTTTCTGAAAATTTTGATTGGTTTGTGTGTAGAAATGGAGTCATTATTTTGAATCAAAGAAGCAAGATTGTGTTGCTATTAATGCACATAGCAGAAGCTCTGTTAAGAAGGTTAGATGATTGATCATCTATGTTAATTAGTGTTGTTGCGTTTTTTTAATTAAAATGTGACGTTTTATGTTTGCATAATGTTTCATATAGCTTCTTGATCTCGTGGAGTTTAAGCTTAAGGAAGTGATTGCTAGGGAGCCTACTTTGCTTGTTATGGTGGTTGGTGTCCCCAATGTTGGCAAATCTGCACTTATTAACTCGGTTCATCAAATCGCTGCGACTCGGTTTCCTGGTAAGATTGATTAGTATCTCGGCTTATCAGCAGAGTGTTAAGTGTTCATTTCACTTATTTTGTATGAACTCTGATCATGTTCATAGTTTAAAGTTAAAGTGTTGAATAGAGTTTTAACATACGTTTTTCGATATATGCATCATGTGTGTAGCGCAGGATAGATTAAAGAGAGCCACGGTTGGTCCATTGCCTGGCGTAACCCAAGATATTGCTGGTTTTAAGGTCAACCAACCTCATTTTTTATTTTCTAGTTGTTTGGGTATTTAACACTTGATTTTTTTAGAACAAGACTGAGTGAGTCCTGTTGTAACAGATTGCTCATCGACCTAGCATATATGTTCTGGACTCACCTGGTGTGTTAGTCCCAAATATCCCCGATATTGAAACCGGTCTGAAGCTTGCACTTTCAGGTTCTAATCTATAATTTATCTCCTTTAACTTCTTTCATCTTGGTGCTAGATGGTGTGAACATGTAGATTTAGTTTAAGTCTTTGGGATCTCAGTTCTTAGTGTTTAGCTACTCCAGGAGCGTATCTTCTGATAGCATATGATCTTCATAGCCGAGTGTTTCACATTTTCTAAGGACTTACCTATTTAAAATTCTCTACACATTGTAAGGGTCCGTCAAAGATTCAGTAGTAGGTGAAGAGCGCCTTGCGCAATACTTTCTAGCTATTTTAAACACTAGAGGGACTCCTTTACATTGGAAGTACTTATTCGAGGGAAGAAACGAAGGGTCTTCTTCTCATCCAGACTCCATCGATAAACCAAGCTACAACTTAAAGGATCTTAGACATCAGAGATCAAAACAACCAGATTCATCTGCTGTGCACTACGTTGGGGTTAGCATAATATATAACCTTACATCTCTATAAGCTTTGCTTTCCTCCTGAAAATTTTCCTAACCTATTGAGGCTCCATCTCATTTATAGGGTGTGATCTCAGAAGTGCAACGTTCACTGTATACAACTCTCTCAGAATTCGATGGGGACACGGAGGATGAGAATGACTTGGAGTGTTTGATAGAGCAGCAGTTTGAAGCTTTACAGAAGGCATTGAAGGTTAATACCAAAGCATCATCAGAAGCAAGGTTAATGGTTTCCAAGAAGTTTCTTACTTTGTTTAGGACAGGTAGACTTGGTCCTTTCATCCTTGACGATGTCCCTGAAACTGACTCGTCGTTATAAAATCAAAAGCAAATTGTATACAGATTAAGATGAATGATGATTTTATTTGTTTTCATTTTAGATTCAATTGGGGTTGCTCCAGTAATTCCAAAGTATTTTTGAATGAACAAAACTGAATCATGATAAGATTTGGCATTTGCCAGTAACAATAAAGTCTATTTGCTGTCCTCATTTATTGGCCTCGATGAATTCTCGGTATTCTTTCTTCATCTTCACACCCGATACAGTCCTGCACATACTCGTAATCTTTAGCCAAACCTGAACACCAAATCAAATACAACCTTATGAATGAAAGAATACAGCCAAACCTGAGCATTTCCTTGTTCTTGAAGAACTGCACACACGGCGTTCCCATGATTCCGGCTGCTTCAGCAATTTCTTGATCTTCCTCGATGTCGATTTCAACAAAATGCACATCATTGTGATACTCATCTACAACCTGAAACAACATTAAGATGCAATGGACAGACGGTTAAAAATCAGTGCAACGAGCGAGTAAGAATTCTCTTCCAATGTTTTGTTTAGTTAGGAAGGATCACCTTGTTCAAGATAGGCTTCAGAGTCCTACAGGGGCCACATGTTGGTGAAGTGTATAATACACATATAACTCTTGGACTCTCATGGTACAATTTTCTAAGAGCATACTAAAAACAGGAAAAAAAAAACACAAGAAGAAAGATGTGAGGCAGAGAAAATCCTTATGATTAATAGAAAGGTTTATATGTTCATAGAAAGAATAAGGAGATAGTTACCTGTCCCCGATGCTTTGTAAGAGTAATATCAAACTTTTCTTGGACATCCCGCTGTGTGAATTCTTTTTTGGTCTCTTCAGTTTGAGGCTATCATGTGCAGAACATGAGGATCAGAGAGCGTAAGCCTTGTGAAGCGAGTATAAGAATGCAAATATTTAGGACAATACTAATTCATACCTGGTGAAATTCAACAAGAAGGTTGTTACTTGTGAGGTATCTCTCGGCTGACAAAGCAGCCATGCATCCTGATCCAGCAGCAGTTACAGCTTGTCTCCATTCATGGTCCTAAAGTGAGAAATGGGATAGTAGCACACAATATTATCGAACAAGTATAGCTTCAAAGAGTTAATGATACCAACACCAAAAGGTGGTTAAAAAGTTCAAAAGAATAACCTGCACATCTCCGGCAGCAAATACGCCCTCAACTGATGTATTCGATGTCCCTTCTCGAACCAACACGTACCCTGAGCTGTCTAGCTCGACTTGGCCTTCCAATAGCTGACTATTTGGCGAATGTCCTATTCCATAAAACAACCCTTTTGCCTCCAACTCGGTTTCTTCTCCTGTATCAATTCTTCTGAGTAGAATGCCAGACATCTGTCCCTTGGTGTTGCTCAATACGTCCACCGTTTCCGTGTTGTAATGCACTGTGATGTTTGGATTGTTGATCACTCTGAAACATTCGCCATAACCAACCTGTTAAAAAAACACTCAAGGGTGTTGAAAAGACTCAACTCACAGTGTGCTCATTAGTGTCTATAATTCCAAAAGCCAACAAAAGGGGATACGTACATTACTGGTTGGTTATCGAATTACTTGAAACGGAACTCATAGCCAAAGGCTTTCCCAGAGACATTCCAAGTGTAAGGATTTGCATGGAATAGGTTAATTAAGTCAATATATGCACCAAAACAGACAATGAACTCATAAACCCAGATAGTCATACTATGTTGTCACGGACTAAACTGATTTGGTTTCCTAATAGACAACACGCGTTTCCTAGATTTGGACCTACCATCATGAATTTTAACTTCTTTTCTTAGCTATTAATATAATAACTTTCCAGAAACTCACCTATCTTGCATAGCCTTGGATGCTCTCAACTGGTCTCTGCGAACAAGCAAATGAACATGACGAGCATATTTAGTGAGGTACAAAGCTTCCTCGGTCGCTGTATCTCCTCCTCCAACGACGGCAAGTACTTGCCCTTTAAACAAAGGCGAAGCTCCATCACATATCGCACAAGCACTAATTCCCCTACTCCAGAATTCTTCCTCTCGAGGTATCCTCAGCCTCTTCGCTGTAGCTCCAGTGGCATAAATGATACTATGGCACTTAACCTACAAAATCAATCCAAACGGCAACATCGGAAAAGAGCTCAAACCAAGAACCTTTTTCATCAAAGCAATGAAAGCATATAGAAGAAGTAAACAAGTCTCCAACATTATCAAACACCCTCTCTACCTTAAATGGTATAAAAATAAGGTTGTTTCGAGGAGACGAAGAAACAAACCAAAAGACTATTACAAAACTAAATAGCTTCTTCCAATGATTAACCATACATTTATCTAGCATATCAATCCTTACATGTTATAAAAAACGCTGTTTCTAGGAGAAGAAGAAACAAACCAAAAGACTATTACACAAACTAAATACCTTCTTCCATGGATTAAACACTCATTTATATAACATATCAAATCCTACATTCTCTATCCACTTCGAATTAACAAAAAAGAGTGGTGACGCACAAAGAAAGATAATCACCTTACGTTCACTACTTTGGACAGTAAACGGAGCCGTTTTAACACTAAGAGACTCCACATCCTCTGGATACAACTCTGCTCCCCACCTCTCAGCTTGCTTCCTCATTCTACACATTCAACACAAAAATAAAATTCCCTCAAATGAGTAATCACAAACTAATAAAATATAATCCAAAATTCCTCACCTCTCCATTAAATCAGGACCAGTGATTCCTTCTGGAAACCCCGGGAAATTCTCAACCTCAGTGGTAGTCATCAACTGTCCACCGGGAACTCCTCCCATCTGATACCCTTCGAACACCACCGGCTTCAAATTAGCTCGCGCCGCGTATATAGCCGCCGTGTAACCCGCCGGACCTGAGCCTATAATCACTACGTTCTCTATAATCTCTTCGCCTGTAAACAATCAATAGCTCGATTACTTGTGAGATACTGTAACAACCTCAATAAACAAAGCAGAAGAGTAAATCCTAACATACCTGAAGACGACGACAGAGAATTAGCTGAGGCGGAGGCGGAGATTCTGAGGCGGAGGGAATCGGAGCGAGTTCGAGTTTGTTGGCGGAGGATGAAGGAGGAGTCGCGGCGTGAAGTGAGGAAGAAGAGGTGAGGGGGAGGAGAGAGTGCGGTGGCGACTCGGTGAGTGGACATGGAGGTGATTCCGA